TTGGCTCAGCGGTTGGAGCGTCGGCCTGCGGTCCAGAGAGACCCGGGTTCGGTTCCCGCTAAGGGCACGTACCTCGGTTGCAGTTTGTCCCCCGCCCTGGTTGGTCGTGAGGGTGGCAGTCACTCGATGTGTCCCTTCACATCGATGTTTCTCTCTCTCTCTCTTCCTTTCTCTCCCTCCCACTCTATCTGAACAAAAAATGGAAAAATGTCCTCCAGTGAGGATAAAAAAAAAAGTGTGCAACAACATTGTGTCTAATAAAACAATGTACATATGTTAATGAAAAAATATTGCTAAAAATGCTAACCAGTGAGGATAAAAAAAAAAGTGTGCAACAACATTGTGTCTAATAAAATAATGTACATATGTTAATGAAAAAATATTGCTAAAAATGCTAACCATCATCTGAGCCTTCAGAGAGTCATAGTCTTTTTGCTGATGGAAGGGGCCTTCAATTTGTTAAGAAATGCAATATCTGTGAAGCACAGTAAAATGAGGTATGCCTATTGCATTTGCCTCATCCTTACACACCTCTCCTGAGACTGATTAGACAGCTGGTAGATCATCTCACTCTATCCTTCATACATCTTGTATCTGAACTTCTCACTTTTCATTTTTATGTTTCTCTATACTGCACCCTTGATAATTACTTCAGATTTACCCTCTCAGTGCTGGTTACTTTTATGTGTCAACTTGACAAGGCCACAGTACCCAAATATTTGATCAACACAAGTCTGAATGTTGCTGTAAAAGTATTGTTTTAGATGAGATTAACCTTCAAACCGGTAGACACTGAGTAAAGCAGATTATCCTCAGTGATGTGGGTGGGTCTCATCTAATCTGGGTCTCATCTAATCAGGTGAAGGTCTTAAGAGAAAAAAGACAGATCTTCAGAGGAAGAGGTGATTTTGCCTTGACACTGCTTTGGACTCAACTGAAATATCAATTCTTGCCTGTCAGTGTTCCCTTTATATTTTTGACTTGTTGGCCTCCACAGTTGTGTGAGTTGGTTTCTTAAAATAAAAATTTATCTCTCAATTCACACACACACACACACACACACACACACACACACACCTGATTGGTTCTGTTTCTCTGGAGAACCCTGATTAATACACTCCTCCTCCTATCCAGTTTACTTTTTCTCTCTTCAGCTGTGTCTAATCTTCTGTTTAGTCCATCTTCCGACTTTTACATTTCAATGGTTGTATTTTTCATTTCTGGAGGTTTATTTGTCTCTTCCTCCAAAAATGGTCATTTCTTAGTGTGGAGCAGATTGTAATGATTGCTCCCAAGGATTCCCTGCTTTGTGAGAGAAGCTTCCACTCCCACCTGTTGCCACTGCTTTTCTCCTGGAGGAGCAGCACACTGCTCCCCCTATGTTGACATTGGACTTTGCCATGTCTTTGGCCAAAGGAATGTGGGCAGAAGTGACTTGTCCAAGCAGAAGCTTCTAGAACTATTGTGGGGGTTGCATTTCTTTCCCTCTTTGGCATGTCCTTCATCCTAGATCCTAGAATGAAGAAGCCACTGAGATCAGGATAGAGCCACTCACAAAATGAACGAGAAACAAGTCTTTGTTTTTTTCTTCTATTGTTTTTACGGTACGTGCTCCTAGGGGGAACCGAACCAACCTGGGACTCTCTGGTCCGCAAGCCGACGTTCCAGCCGCTGAGCCAAACTGGCCAGGGCAAGTCTTTGTTTTTAAAAGCCACTGAGATTTGGGGTTCAGGTATTTCTACCACTACACTGAATAATTCGGTTTCTGTGCTTTCTGGATGTTAGCGATGCTTTCTTACACACTGAACTGTACTAAGCATGCTGTGGCATCTGTTTCTGTCGGGATCTGAAGTCTTTGCGGATCTGGTTTAGCTGCTCACTCTTTCTGCTGGCTCTTGCTCACGATGTGTCCCTTCTGGGTGCTGTGATGTCTAACCATGAAGATTTATTTGACCACCTAGCTAGTGTGATTTGGAACTGCAAAGCTACTCTTTGAGATGACAACTTCTCAGGAAAGATATATTTGGCTTCATTCACTCAGAAAACAAAAACAAACCCAAAAGGATTCCTTGTAGTCCCTGGTAGGGATGTGCAATAGGCTGAACAACGACCCCAAAGAAACCAGGTCCTAATCCCTGGCTCCTGTGAATGTGATCTTATCTGAAAAAAGAGTCTTTGCAGGTGTTTTGAAATTTAAGGTCTTGAGATGGGAGGTGACCCTGGATTATTGGGTGGGCCTTAAATGCAACCCTTAAGTGTTCTTGTTAGAGAGAGGCCAAGGAAGACAGACAGATGTGAGGACAGAGACAGACAGGAGTGACGCTGTCACAACCAAGGGGTGAGGCATTCGGAAGAGACAAGGAACGTACTGTCTCCTGGGACCTGGAGACTTCTTCACCCCAAGGCAGCCCATTGACACCGCTTTTGGACCCGCCTTCGGGTCTGTGAGAGTACAGGAAACTGACACGGCTGGGAGTCATTTACTATACCGAGGGGGCTCTTCGGGATTGGCCACCTCCTGCACACCCCTCATTGGGGATCGGGCCCACAACCTGGGCAATCGAACTGGCAGCCTCTTGGTGCACTTGACCACTGAGCCACACTGGCCAGGTTGGGGAGCTGTTCTTTAGACCCAGGCTTGAGTGAGTTCTGAGCTTTGTCTTCTGTCTCGAGCCCTTGTGAGTAGCTGAAATCTACAGGGTTTGTTAAATGCCCTCAAGGAAAAAGGTGACGCATGACTGGCATGTCTGGGCTTAAGCCTCCGAACGTTCCCTCCTTGCTGAGAACCCTCTGAAACACGTTCTAGACACTGCACCCAGTCCTTGGTGAGTGAGTCGATGTCATCGGTACGCCCTCCCTCACTAAGGTCGCCCACGGCTCGCAGCCAGGGACAGACGTGTGCCCTGCCATTCATGGTGCCAGAGATGCAGCAGAGTCCACCTTTAAGGAGGTGGTCAGGCATAAATGGAGTTATTAGGGGGACTGTAAATTTGTGGGAGGACTTGTTTTCACAACTAAACAAACATCTGGCAGAGTTGGGGGACATATGGGCAGGGGGGAGGTGAGCAGAGTCCTGGTTCCACCCCCACCACACAGCACACGGAGGTCTTCCCCAGCAGGGTGAGGCAGGGGCTCCATCCTCAGCTCCTCCCTGTGTCTTCCCCCTACGTGTCTCTGTTCTTGGTCGGAGGCTGCCAGCCACCCAGCCTCGGCTCGCCAGTCTCAGGCCTCCGCTGTTCCCCCTGCAGGACTCCCGCCCCTGCAGAAAGGTGCTCACCACTCCTCTGCTAGGAAACCACACTCTGTCCCCCTCTGCACCTGAAGGGGTCAAGTCTTGGGCCCGGGAGGTCCCCAACCACTCCATTGCCCTCAGAGGCCTGCTCAGAGTTTTAGTTGCAAACTGTAGAAGCCAACAGGCTGGTTGAAGTGCAAGAGTTTCTCAGCATGATGTTGGAGAGCTCACAGGATCTCTGGGAGGTTGGAGAAACAGCCCTGGGGTTGGGGGATACAGGCAGGAACAATGTCCAAATCAGACCAGGTCTGGTGGGGCCGTCCCTGCTGCTGGACGCTTCTCCCGGAACCCGTCTGTATTGTGTCACCTGTCTTCTTACTCGAAGCTGGGCTGAGCCCCGGCTGTGTGCCTGCAGCCCAGCAGCAAGGGCGTGGGGACCAGGGAGAGAGGTTCCCACTTGCAAAGGTGAGCATTAGGCAGAGGGAGGGATTCAGGCGCCATTGAGGCAAAAAGAATGCCGAGGGTCCAGGGCAGGGGTAGGGTGGCTGATGGGCATCTCCTGTCTTCCCTCCTGAGCCAATGCATGCAGGTCTCCTGTCACTCATCAGGGAGGAGGAGCTAAGGGAGGAAGAGAACCAGTTCCTCCTGACTTCAGACAAGCCTTAACCATAGTGAGGGGCACTGAGAACTAGAAATACCGTGATCTCTCCCTCACGATGTGCTACTGAAAATAATTTTAAAATACTGAACTGTTGCCCTGGCTGGTTTGGCTCAGTGGTTGGAGCGTTGGCCCATGGACCAAAGAGTCATGGGTTTGTTTCTGGTCAAGGGCACGTCCTTGGATGCGGTTCGATTCCCTGCCCTGGTTGGGGTCATGCAGGAGGCAGCCGATCGATGTGTCTCTCTCACATCAATGTTTCTCTCCCTGTCCCTCCCTCCCACTCTATCTGAAAATCAATGAAAGAATATCCTCAGGTGAGGATTAGAAGAATATTGAACTGTTAATGACACGAGAGGTGCACACTTCTGATGTGCACACTTCTGACTTCTCCCCACGATGCTTTGTTTTAAAAATGTCGTTAGCCCTGACTGGTTTGGCTCAGTGGTTAGAGTTGGCCCTTGGACCAAAGGGTTGGGGGTTTGATTCCCAGTCAAGGGCACGAACCTGGATTGCATGTTCGATCTCCAGGGTCATGTGGGAAAATCTTTCTCACATCTATGTCCCCCCCCCGCTACTCTCTCTACAAATCAATGGAAAAATATCCTTGAGCAAGGATTAACAACAACAAAAATGTCCAGTGATTTCAACAAGTGTTTTTCCTATTTGGGGAGGGCCTTTGATGAATCTGCCTTATTGGGCAATCTGGCACAGAGACAGGGACACGTGATGCTAAGTTTACCCAGGTAAGGTCATACCCCCGAGATTACGCTGCAGGGAAGAATCGCTGTGGGAAGCTCCCGCCGGGTGTGGGCACTGGGGTGGGTATCTCGAATGGAGAGCACTAATCCTTAGGTGTTGTCACCCCACGTGCAGGCCAGGAACCTGACAGGTCACAAGCCAGTAACTGTCCGAGGTGGAGTGCCAAGCCCTGGGCTTCCGTTCTCCCGCCTGCCTCCACCGGGAGCTCCCAGGGGCTGGGAGGGGCTGGGAGGCCCGGCGTCTGGCTCAGCTCCCGGCTGACGGCAGGCTGAGGACCCCACAGGATGGACGGACCCCAGCCCGGGCGTCTGGCTCAGCTCCCGGCTCACAGCAGGCTGAGGACCCCACAGGATGGACGGACCCAAACCAGCCGCAGGGGCCGGCACCCAGCATCTGGCACCGCCGCCAACACCGTATCACGAACACACAGGCTGGAGGGTAAACTTTACTGGAGCGAAGACACAACATAAAACACGTACAGTAGCAGAAGGACTCCCGGGAGAAGCGTCCCTGAGAACCCAGGAGTCTGCGTGTGTCCAGCGCCGTTTCTCGGGGCCTTTCGACAGTTCGGTCGGATCTTGCAGCACCTGCTTTCGTTCCTCTTTTTAGTACTTTTATGTCTCACAGTTGAAACCTGTTCCCTCTGTGAGCGCACGAGGCTGAGAGTGGGCAACTGTTTTCTAACCGTGAAGGCCTTTAAACAAAGCAAGTCCCCAGAAGGCGTCGGCCACGCGGGCCTTCCCAGCCCACTCCTGGCCGTGTAGACGTGGTCCCGGCGCTGAGCTCTGGACGGGGCTGGCCCGGGTCGCGCCGGCGGCTCTGATCGCCCGCAAGGGCGGGGAGGGGGGCTGCGGCCCTCCTCAGTAGCTGGAGGGCGAGACCCCCCCAGCCGGAGTCCTGAGGCTGTCGCTGTCCCCAGAATCCCGCTTGCCGCTTTCAGAGACCTCGGTGACGACACTCAGTTTGTCAAAGACTTCGTTCTCCTCAGAGGGTGGGAAGGAGAAGAACAGGAGCTTGTTGTGGTGAGGGTGACTCAGAAACTGCAGGAGGAAAAGCAGACAGTGAATGATCACATCCCCCCACTTTTGGTTCTGGGCTTAGAGATTCTACTCCTCGCTGGCAAACACGGTCTGAGACACGTGTGACCACCTCATGTACGGTGACGGAAGATGATCTGCCTTTGGGTGCTGGGCACACCGTGCAACCCACGGACCTTGTAACATGGAAACCCATGTGATCCTATGAACCAACGCCACCCAATACATTCAATTTTTTAAAAAGGTTAAAAAATGTGACAAGAACAGTATGAGAGTTCCTCAAAAAATGGAATGACCACAGGACCCAGCATTTCCATTTCCGGGTAGACACCCAGGAGACCCGGATGCAGCGTCTCAAAGAGGTTCTTGTGCACCCACGCTCACGGCAACATTGGTCACCACAGCCAGGAGGTGGGAGCACCCCAAGTGTCCGCGGCGGATGAACGGATACACCAAGTGTGGTCTCCGCCCCACAGAACATCACTCAGCCTTGAAAAGGAAATTCTCACCCAGGCTACACGGTGGACAGACCTTGAAGACACTGTCTAAGTGAAGAAGCGAATCATAAAAGGTCAAATACGTCTGATTCCACTCATAGGAGGGACCGAGAGTCAAAATCCGTGGAGACAGTAGAAGAGTGGGTGCCAGGGACTGGGGGAGAAGGGAGAACGGGGTGTCAGTGTTTCATGAACGCAGACGGTCAGCCTGGGAAGATGAGAGCGTTCTGCAGATGGGTGGTGGCGGTCCTGCACGATGTGAATGTGTTTAATGCTACAGACTGTGCGGTTACAAATGGTCAATACGAAGCAGGAGAGAGACAGCAAGGAATTGAAAACCTACCTGAAAAAATGTCAGAAAACTTCTCTAACTTGGTGAAGGAAACAGACAGACAAAGTCCAGGAAGCACAGAGAGTCCCAAACAAGATGAACCCCAAGAGGCCCACACCAAGACACATCATCATCAAAATGCCAAAGGTTCAAGACAAAGAACCTTAAAAGCAGCAAGAGAAAAGCAGTTTGTTACCTATAAAGGAGCTTCCATAAGAATGTCAGCTGATTTATCAAAAGAAACTTTGCAGGCCAGAAGGGAGTGGCAAGAAATATTCAAAATGATGAAAAGCAAGAACCTACAACCCAGACTACTGTAACCTGCAAACGATAATTTAGAATTGATGGACATATACAGTGTTTTCCAGACAAGAAAAAGCTAAAGGAGTTCATCACCACCAAACCAGTATTATATGAAATGTTGATGGGTCTTCTTGAAGAAGATAAAAAATATGAACAATAAAATAGCAATAAATACATATCTGTCAACAATTGGATCTACAAACCAAATGAACAGGCAGAACAGAAACAGACTCAGATACAGAGAACTTTATGTTGGTTGCCAGATGGGAGGGGGTTTGGGGACATGGGTGAAAAAGATGAAGGGATTAAGAAGTACCAGCTGGTTGTTAGGCTGACGAACCGCAAAGGGAAGAGATAAACCAGAGAACTTCTATGCATACATGCACAACCGATGGACACAGACTATAGCGTGGGGAAAGCCAGAGAGGTGTCAATGGGGACAGAAATGGGGAACATTTGTAATACATTCAGTAATAAAGAAAAGTTTAAAAAAGAAGAAAAAACAAGAGTTGGAAGAAAACCCCCAAACACATGGTCAATATGGTAAATGTCCTGTCATGTGTATGTCACCACAGTTACACGACGACAGACCTGCACCTCATTTTCTACGTGGTCGCAGGTGGCCTGGGAGGGAGGTTTGGGGCCAATCCCACTGCTGCTGCACCGACACAGCCCAGGTGTCATTTCCGCCAGGGGCAAGGGTGTCGCAGACATGGGATGAATGTCTCAGAATAGCCAACAAAGTCCCCCAGGCGTCCTCAGGCGGAGTGAGGGCCTCCTGGGTGCTCCCGGCGCCCCGTCTGTCCCTTGGTTTCCGCCCTCAGTCCTGCACTGTCCAGCACGGTGGCCACGAGCCACATACGACCACCCGAGATGCAGCTCGTCCTGGTCCACAGGTGCACTAAGTACCAAAACACGCCGGACTCCGAAGACTGTGTGTGAAAAAGGCTGTACCGCAGTAATTTCTGCAACTACTGATTCTATGTTGAACCCTTTTGGGTCTATGGGGCTATATGAAATGTATTACAATTCATTTCATCTGTTCTTTTTACTTTATGTTTTAACGTGGCTGCCAGCGGCTGCATGTCCATCTAGCACGTTCTGTAAACACTGACTTCTCACGGGCTGTCTCTCCCACGTCCAGACATCCTTGTCTGTCCAACTCAAAACAGTGGGAACTGATCCCTGGACACTCCCGGCTCTGGTCTCGGTGTTTCAGCCTGCAGGCCCTGCTCTGCGTCTCCAGGGGGGCTCGCCGTGTCAGGCCGCCCTCGTGCCACCCCTGGCTGGCCGGGCGGTCTCCCTGCCCGCTGTGATGGCCACACCGCCGCACAGGACTTCACCTCAGCCGCAGGGGCTGCATGGCCTGCGGGCGGGGGTGCAGGGGCTCCCCTGGGCCCGGGGCAAGAGGAAGTATATTCCAGATCTCTGGTGGGTCAAGAATGGGGCTGGAAGCCCGGCCGGTGTGGCTCAGTGGTTGAGCGTCGACCCTGCACCAACAGGTCACTGGTTTGATTCCCGGTCAGGGCACACGCCCAGGTTGTGGGCCCGATCCCCAGTGGGGGGCATGCAGGAGGCGGCCAGTCCATGTTCTCTCTCATCGATGTTTCTGTCTCTCTCTTCCTCTCCCTTCCTCTCTCTCTAAAATCAATAAAGAAAAAAACAAAACCACAATGGGGCCAGAGGGAGGAGGAACCTCCTTCAGTCCTCAGAGCCAGGGCATTTGGAAGAATGGACTAGAAACTACCATTGATTCTCTTGGAAAACGAGAGGTGAGAAGGACAAAGGAAGAAAGAAGTAAGCGCTCGATCTCAAGAAAGCTCCCACCAGACTGCGCTCCTGGCTGGACACACACGGGAGCTGGTGGCGGCTCAGTACATCCTGCTGCAGACACCTCCCTGCTGCCGAGACCCCCCCCAATTCGGAATTGTTCTCTGGCCCCGGAACAGGGCGTCTCTGCAGAACTGCATGGGAGGGGCCGGATCTGCTCACAGTTCCCGGGGGGCCCCCTCCCTCCCCACAGGCCCTTCTGCAGCAGCCACGGGGCTTCCAGCCTTGGTCCTGAGGCTCGGGCCAGGCCGGGCTGGTCTCCACTTTGAACCCCTGTCCTTTCCTGTCTGACCAGCCTCTTTGATGGCGAAGCTAACATAACAGAATAGTTTTGCTTCCTGCTGGTTCTCCATTTACAAAACACCTCCTACTCAGAGCTAAGGGCGGGCCGCCCCTCTTTGTTTCTCCTGCTGCAAATGGGGGTTCTCACCTTTCACCTCTAGAAGAGTCTTGGCTGTTCTACAGTCTTGCTGGTGTTCTTTCAGAGGTTCTAACTGCTCTGAAACCCGGGCCTGGGGCCCCGCACCCCAGATCCCCGTTCACGGTGCTCGCTCCCCAGCTTCCGGGAACACGAGAGTCCAACGGCTCCCTGCCCAGACCGTCTCCAGAAAGTGCCCTCTCGGAAGGCGGAGGCCACCGGGAGCCTGGCGTGGTCAGGGGCACGTTCCTTCCCAGGGGCAGATTGTATCAGCGCCTGGCTGGTGTGGGGACAGGCCTGGCTCTCCCATGACCACGGGTTAACAGGCCCAGAGAAGCAGGGGTAACAAGGCACGCAAGACACGCTCTTCGGAGGGTGAGCGCCGAGCCTGGGAATACCTGGGGAGCGGCCACACCAGGGAATAGGGCACCCCGGGACTCCCTCTCCACATGAAGGAGCAATGATCGCGGCTCAGGCCTGCCACCAAGGAAGAGCCACGCGAGGTGGCGAGGTGGGGCCTCTGGGTCCCGGAGGCAGCACAGGCGCCCCCTAAGCCGTCTGAATGCAAGTCGCCAGCTCAGTCTTCCCCGCACGACACCACAGACATTCCCCTGGGGCTGGGCCTGGCTGTTCGCCACTTCCCAGGCCCTCTGAGCCCTACTGTCTCTATCCAGACACGTCATCTAAGGCTTTGAAAACAGGGCTCCTCGTCTAGGGCACACATCCCATAATTTCAGTCACTCTCAGGGATGCCTGCACTGAGGACACAGCTGTCCCTGCTCCCCCGGCCCCAGCCGTTTGCTGGCATGTGGCTTAGGGTTTCCCTGTCTCACGTTGTCCCTTCTGAGCCCTGTCTTCCTGTCCCAGAGCCTGGGCTGCCCGAGGACCTGGGGCTTCAGGCAGGGAAGGGCCAAAGGGCCCGACGTCCAGGTTGGAGGGACAGCTCCTCCCTTGGGGCCGGGGCATGAGCACAGGCACCAGGGAACGACCAGCATGCAGACCTGGGTTGTACTTCAGGAAACATGCCGGCTGGAAGGAGGCAGTGGACTTGGAGGAAAACTCCCTGCAGTCAGGGTCTGCCCTGCACCCCTGCTGCCCCACGACCTCCTCCAGGGTCTGCCCTGCACCCCTGCTGCCCCACGACCTCCTCCAGGGTCTGCCCTGCACCCCTGCTGCCCCACGACCTCCTCCAGGGTCTGCCCTGCACCCCTGCTGCCCCACGACCTCCTCCAGGGTCTGCCCTGCACCCCTGCTGCCCCACGACCTCCTCCAGGGTCTGCCCTGCACCCCTGCTGCCCCACGACCTCCTCCAGGGTCTGCCCTGCACACCTGCTGCCCTACCTACCTCCTTCAGGGTCTGCCCTGCACACCTGCTGCCCCACTACCTCCTCCAGGGTCTGCCCTGCACACCTGCTGTCCCACTACCTCCTCCAGGGTCTGCCCTGCACACCTGCTGTCCCACTACCTCCTCCAGGGTCTGCCTTGCACACCTGCTGCCCCACCTACCTCCTTCAGGTGCTGCGGGAGCGCGTTGCCCGGGGAGACGGTGTACTTGGTCCTCTTGTAGATGCACCACAGCAGCGCCAAGCAGCCCGTGAGCAGCAGGCAGGTGCCCACCGAGGACCCCAGGACGACCACCACCACGACCCAGGAGGGGGCACTGTCTGCAGGGAGAACGTGTGTTAATTCTGTCCTTGCAGACTGGCTCACAGAGACACAACGCTGTCCCCACCGCCACCACCACGGCGCAGTGGCGCTCCCTAGACGCGGGCCCTGTGTTCACCGGGAGGCGTGGGGAGGACCCAGCAGCTGTTGGGGACCCAGCGTTTCAAACCAGCTCTGCCCTTCCCGATCCTCTTCCAAGTGTGGTCTCGGTGTGACCGCGGACGCACACAGAATAGGAGGCAAGAACCTGCCCCGCTCTTCCCACTCACGGTCGCACGAGCCCCTGTTCAGGATCAACCTCTTCTCCCCGGGCCCCAGAACCCCTCAGATACACACCCCACAGCGCCATGTCCTGAAACCGGAGGACGCTCTCTGCGTGGACAGCTCCACGCAAGCCCTGCTCTCGCAGACCCACACCCCGGCCTGGCTGCTCGGGCCAGGCCACCCCGCGGGGCCACCCAGCACCCTCTGCAGGCCTTGTGCGGGCAAAGCCAGGGCTGCTGAACAGACTCTCCATTTGTCCCGCCAGCTTCTGACCTTCCTTTCCCGGAGCGTCACCATGAACGGCCGAGACTCCTTCCTCGGCCCCTCTGAGCTGTGTAGGTACCTGCTTCAACCCCGCAGTGTCTTCCTCCAGGGCCTGGGAGCCCCCTTCCAACGCATCATCAGAAGGCCCGGCCCCCAGGCTGTGGGAGGGCAGAAGCCGAACTTGCTCAGTGCGTTAGCGTTAGACACAGGTGGCCCACCTGCACTGACATTGAGCTCCCCTGTCATGACTCTTTATGATTTGTCATGTCCCCTCCCTCCTTTCAAATGCAGTCAGCCTCTGCCCTTTGCTGCCCTTCCTGAACAAAGTATCTTCTGACCACTTTAATTCATGTCCGGCATGACCTCTGACAGTATCTATCGAGGGTGTCACCCTGGTCATTGGTGGTCCTCGCTCCCTGGTTCTGCACCAGGTCCTTCTCCAGTGCCCTGGTCCCCTAACTTCCCTTTGCCCAACCCCCAGCCATCAGCACCACCCTCCAGATCAAAACCCAAAGCATTTGGTACTGAGAGGGGCCACGAGAAAGAACCTGGCTCTTTCAAAGCAAGTCATTTAAGGGTCAATTTGTGGGAGATGTCAATTTCTGCCAACACAGGGCAGATCAAAGAACCCCGAGACAGCAGGTGCCCCGGAGCTCCATCAGCTGGTGCAGCGTGGCTCACAGACGCTCCCTAAACACGATGAGCGACTGTGGCATCTGTAAGGGGCAGAGCTGGGAGGAGCCCACCTCATCTGTCTGCCCCCTGGCTCCCTCGTCCTCTTAGGGTTTAATTCACCCTGGAAGCGACCTCTTGGTGCCCTGGCTGAGTTTGGAGCAACTCCTTACCCATTTCCTGTGAATTGTTGTTTCATTCAGTACAATCAAGGGGCGGTGCTTCCTACCCCCCACTTCCAATGCAAATGTGTTTCCTTAGTGGATGCAGGGGGGCTGGAGCGCCCCCAGGCTCTGCCCTAGGGCACAGTAGGACGTCCACTCGGGATCTGACATCTCAGCTCTTGAGGAAGTTCCAGGATCCTACATCTCCATCTGTCCTTCCTTTTACTGTTTCAATAGTTCTTTTTTTTTTTTTTTTTTATCCTCACCCGAGGATATTTTTCCATTTTTTGTACAGATAGAGTGGGAGGGAGAGAGAGAGAGAGAAACATCGACGTGAAGGGACACATCGAGTGGCTGCCACCCGCACGACCAACCAGGGCCGGGGACAAACTGCAACCGAAGTACATGCCCTTAGCGGGGACCGAACCCGGGTCTCTCCGGACCGCAGGCCGACGCTCTAACCGCTGAGCCAAACTGGCCAGGACTAATATATTTTTTTTCTTTCTTTCTTTTTTTTTTTTTTGTGGTACATGCCCCTAGCAGGAACCGAACCCGGGACTCTCTGGTCCACAGGCTGACGCTCAACCGCTGAGCCAAACTGGCCAGAACCGTCTCAATAGTTCTTGAATGGGGCAGAGCACCAGATCACCCACGACACCGGCTGCACACCTGGCGCTCGGGAGACGCTGGGGGAGTGCAGGAGGGCAGCCTGGGCCTCTAGTGTCTCCAGCCAGGGCATCTCGGCATCTTAGACAAGGACAGTCCACAGGCACACCTGGCTGCTGGTGACAAAATCCGAAGAGGCTTTTGTGACTGATCTGAGGGGGAGGAGGCTGAGAGAGAGGATACTACTTGACAGAGGCTGTGGGGCCTGGAGGGTCGACCCATCAGCACCGTCTCCGCAAGGTTCTCCGACCTGTCCGTTCGTCGGACTGAGATGGGGGAGGCCAGGCAGTGAGGGCCAGCCCGGGGGAAGGGAACTACACCAGGGGGGATTGTAAACAAGTGACGGGACGCAGCTCGCCTGCGGAGATACCGGTGAAAACCAAGGCGATTTACAGCGGAACCCAGCTCCATGGGAAACAGACTTTAAAAGGTACCGATGTGGCGGAGGCAGAATTCTTTGAAAGAATTGGTCAAGAGGTAGCAAGGCATATATCTACCCCTAGACAACAACACCCCACGGGCAACCCTCTTGGGTCCCCTCCCCACTGCGGGGGGTCTGTCTGTCTTTCCTATAAACTTTCCTTTCGCTTGCCCTTTGTCCGTGAATTCATTCTTCGATTTTTCGAGATGACGAAGCTGGATCTGAATACCGTCGCTTGGCTTCACGACCACGCGGTCGGCAAACCGGCCTTGTGTTTGGTCCACGTGGACCTCGGGCCTTGGCTCACCTACGGGATGAATCTGCAGGTGGTCAGCTACAGCCACCATCACCTGGGCTGGCCTGTGTTCTGTCACTTACCAGCCGAGTGGCTTTGCTAAGTCACCTCCCATCTCCAAACCTTCATCTTCCGTTCGGCGGGAGAGAGACCCTTACAAGGCTCCCACCGAAAATGTGTCATGACGTTTAAATGAGGTCATTGTTTAAACAAAACTGGCTATGTTTGACAAAAGCCCGTTTACCATGGGTCCTACTTTTCCTTTTCTATTATAAAACTGTTTGTTTTTGTCAGTTAATGGGTGATCATTCATAGTCCTCAAATATTTTTTTTTCCCTTTATTGACTTTAGAGAGAGAGGAAGGGAGAGGGAGAGAGAGATGGAAACATGGATGAGAGAGAACACTGACTGGCCGCCTCCTGCACGCCCCCACTGGGGATTGGGCCCCCAACCTGGGCCTGTGTCCTGACTGGGAATTGAACCGGTGACCTCCTAGTGCATGGGTCAGTGATCCACCACTAAGCCACACTGGCCGGGCCCAAAATATTTGAAAAATTGTTCTTTTTGGTCCAATTGCATGGCTCCTGCCACATTTCGTGATTCGAGCCTTTAGGAATGCTTAGCAATGTGATTTCGATAACATCATTAACAACAGTAACAATATTTAACCACAGTCAGGGCTCACTCTGCGCCCCGGGCCGCTCTGCACGCCTGTTACCCGCCCCAGCTGGCAGATGGGGCCGCCGGGGCACGGGGGCGTCAGGACCTGCCCTGTCACATTACCTCGGAGTTCACGGCGGGCAGGCGGGCATGGGACAAGCGGGCCACATTCAAGGCTTTGGGAAAGCGGACAGCAGGTGTTCAGAGGGAAGACGGATGATCCCATGGTCAGGGGTTCTAGGAACTCAAGCAGGATGGGGGCCCCAAGGTACAGAATTCAGGTCCAACCGCCAAGGACTCGTGAGCGGATAAAGCGAGAAAGCCGCAGAGAGGGTCGGTGGACAGCTGCGGCCCAGAGGCAGCCGCGGCGCTGGGAAGGCGCTGAGCGACCGGGGCTCCGGCAGGGCACAGCAGCCCCACCCAGCCACTGGCGGGGGCAGCAGGCGGAGAGAGGAGAGGGTGGGAGAAGCCCCTCCAGAGAGGCAGCAGGATCCAGCTCCTGGCGGCCTGGCCGCTCTGCAGAGCAGCTGGGACCGCCGCGGGGTGCGCCCGGGGGAGGGGGAGCCTGCGTCCAGCCACAGCAGTTGTGTTTCACTGAAGAAGAGGAAAAAAGCAGGAGGATTCGGGGAACAGGCGGGCCGATTAGCTTGAGGCGGTCTCTGGAAACAATGCAAACATTCTGGAATGGGTAATTAAGTGGTCAGTGACACGCCTTAAAAAAATAAGGACGGTAACTAAAAATAATGACATTAGGGCGCCAAGAAGACGAGAGCTCCAAGCGGCCGCCTTTTCTTTTTCGGAGTGGGGTCCCTGTTGGTCCAGTGTGGCCGATTATGGGTTGTTGTTGCTAATCCTCCAAAAGGCACTGAAAGATCCAATAAGCTAGGAATGCTGACTGACACACGGTAACTTTTCTGAGAAGGGGAGATACCATCCTCTGCACGCGTTTCTGACTGCAGGGCTCTTAGCTGAAGAAGCATCCAAAGTGCCCTGGCCAGTGTGGCTCAGCGGTTAGAGCGGCGGCCCTCAGACCAGAGAGTCCCAGGTTCGGTTCTCGCTAAGGGCTCGTGCCTGTTGTAGTTTGTCCCCGGCCCAGTTGGGGTCGAGTGGGTGGCAGCCAGTCGATGTGTCTCTCTCACATTGATGTTGTCGATGTGTCTCTCTCACATTGATGTTTCTCTCTCTCTCCCTCCTGCTCTATCTGAAGATAAATGCAAAAAAATGTCCTCGGGTGAGGATTAGGGGAAAAAAATAAATAAATAAAGAAGTGCCCAAAGATACAGAACGTAGCTGAGCAGTGCTGCCCCGGGCACGGGGTGTCACTTTCAGCTGGTTTTTGCAGTGTTTCACACGACTTCACGGACAATAACAGCTATGCAACAGCCCACCATATCCAGAGGGCCAGAGGCCCGCAAGCAGGTGGGTGAGCATCTCGGGGAAGGTGTGTCCGGGGCACCCCACGAGCTGAGCACTAGGGCACGGATCCCCCAGACCCTCCTGGCAAAGCTGGAGATGAGACAAAGCGAAACTGGGCGAGAAGCAAGTCCAGGGAGAAGCAAGAACCCGCCAAGCCGGACCTGAATCAGCGTGAGCTCAGCGTCTCAGTGCTGTGTGTGCACACGTCATCCTCTCCAGGGAACCGTCTATCGCTTTCCTGTGTGTGTGTGGTCCCCAGCTCAGCACCTTGCTCCCAGGAGCACGAAGCCCACAGTCGGCGCCGAGCCGGGTGGGAGTCGGAGCCGGACGGGTGAGGTCTGAGCAGGGGGTGCCTACAGGCTCTTGACCAGATGGAGGAGCGTCCCAATGCCGTTCTCAGGACTCACCATCACTGACGGTTTGCGCGCACACGGGCTCGCTCCACTCCCCGCTTTTGTTCAATTCGGGAACAAACATTTGAACTTCAACACAGTACGTTGTCCACGGCTGCAGGTTTCTGAGGACCTCGACGTCATACTGACAAGTAACTGGATGCTAGTCATGGAGACAAAAATAAGAGCATACCTTAGCAGTGAAGGGACACCACCTCCCCCCACCTCCCAACACACCAGTTATGGTCTTAACTTCAGGCTTAACACAGGAAGAAGGAGGAATCACCGATGTCCCAGTCCATTTCAGGGGCCCGACTCTAAGGGACGGGCAAGGGCAGACTGACCTCACAAACATCTCCTTCCTTGAATTCTCTAGTTTAAATGACACACAACCATCCCACTTCCTTTTTTAAAAAGATAACCCAGTTGTATACACTGAATTGCATCCCCCCCCATTCATATGGTGAAGTCCTAATCCCCGATACCTTCTAAGGTGACTTAGTTGGGTCTTTACAGAGACAATCAGTGAAGATGAGGGCAGAGATAGAGGGGTGCTTCTACAAGCCAAGGGGACCCAGGATCATCAGTGACCACCAGAAGCTGGGAGAGAGGCCTAGAACAGACTGTACCTCACAGCTTCATAAGGAGCCAACCCTGCCGACAGGGTGATCTCAGACTTCTGGCCCCCAGAACCCTGAGGCATTCTGTTCACAGGTCGCCCGCCTGAGGTATCTGGTTACAGTAGCCCGAGCTGACAAGTACCAGTCATCCGCAGGAAGGCACAATGGGATTTCCTTCCTAAGTCAAGAGCATGTTTCTGACCCTGCTGCCTGGGGTCCCCCCTGAAGCACTTCTCCACTCCTGCACTTAGGGTGCCCTCCTCCAGTGGCCCACCTCACCTTGGGGGGGGGGGACGCATCCCTGATTCCTCTAAGTTTAATCTGAATATAAGATATCACAATTGACGCTATATTCCAGAATTTGAGAATTCAAAATAGTTTCTGGCAAAATCAAGGGGATTAGGAGTATATACTAGTGTTTCCATCTTGGTTGTTACTTCCTTATGAAAGAGACTCATGTGAAGTTTGTTGTAAGAATAGGAACTTCAATAGAAAGTGAACACAGACTTCTTGTTACTTTCGTTGTTGGTTCTCTTTGGCGACTGGGTTTGCTGACATCTTGTTCGTATTCCTTCATTGTACGGGAAGCTAAGGTCCCTGGGGGCGAGGATGGGGTTACAGTGGGCCCTCGCTTCGCGCGGGTGATCGGTTCCGGGCTCTACCGCGACGAGGAATTTCCGTGAAGGAGGGTCTTTGCTTACACGCAGTCGTCTGAAAAAACCGCGACAGAGCGAAGCCGCCAAGTCGGAGCGCAAAGTGGCGAGGGACGAGTGTACACCAGTTGAATACAGACAGCGTACGGCATGACCTCTAATAATTAAAAACAAAAATAGAACCCCCACCTCCTGGCTTTCATTTCTAGAAACCCAACACCTCTCAAACCCTACAATGCTGTCAAAGACTACGCTCAGGGGGGACCCGCGGGTGGCAGGCAGGGACCAGAGCGGCCTGGAGGTCCCCTGATTGCTTTTCCAGCCGTCCTTCCCCTCGGGACAGCTTCTGGTTTCATTGTCTCACTGTGGCCCATCAGGAAGCAACAGAATTCCTGGAAGTCTCTCGGCTCAGGGCCCCAGCAGCACGCTTCTCGCAAGCTCTCGGGTTCCAAGAGAACCAGCCTGTCCCATTCCAATCGGGCGGCCGCAGCGGGACAGCACAGGGTGGCGCACAAACGGCAAGTGTTCCTCACGGGTCTAGAGGCTGCACGTCCGAGACCGCGTGCCAGCAACCTGCTGTCTGGTGGGGACCTGCTTCCTGGCTCACAGCTGCCCGTTCCTGGCGGGGTCCTCACATGGAGGAAGGGGCGAGGGAGTCTCCGGGGTCTCTTATACAGGCTCCACCTTCACGACCTCATCACGTCCCACAGGCCCACTGCCTGACGCCACCACGTGGGGATCATGTTTCACCATGTGACGCTGGGGATGCTGGGGCGGAGCAGACACTCACCGAGAGTGCACAGAGACCAGCAATGGTGACACTGAGGTGCTAGTGAGGAGGAGCTGGGGCACAGGCAGCCTGTCACACCCGCCGTGTCCCCACAACGGCTCAGTGATGGTGTTCTAGGCAGCTGGACAGACGCGCGCAGAGCAAGGACAATGGGTCAGACACAGAAACTCACCAGGGCTCAGCGCAGGTGCCTAGCAACGGGCAAACCTGGGCAAACACACACCTCGCCCCCGGGGTGACCTTTCCTCCCCTCACGTATCTGGTCACACAGTTTAGACCCCCTGACCTTTTCCTCCCTGAAGATCACATCGAGGCCTCAGTTGTATTTCAGCTCCAGGCCCAGAAAAGCAGCAAAACCAGACCAGTGATGCTGTGGCTGCCTCAGGACCTTGACTAATGACCCTGCCCTGGCTCCGACCAATCAGTGGAGCCCACAGCCCAAAAGAGCACCTCTGGAAAGCTGATGAATGTTCTACTGGGACCCTCCCCTGAGACCTCCCCTAAGAGAAATACCCCCAACACAAAGGGCCCAGTGCACACTCTCCGCCAGGGGAGCACACCCCCTGCCCCCCCTTTCCCTCTGAGGGAGGCCTGGAGACTTGCAACCAGGGGAGCAGTGGGCAGCGGCAGCTCGTCCTGGGCTCACCCCCTGAATCTATAACTTGCGTAATTTAAGGGGCATTTTCTGGCAGTAAAAAGTTAACTTGAGATTTCAGGGGAGGGTATGCAGTATGTACATAGAAACTTAATTATATCCTTTCTAAGACAGTACACGTGGGTGACCCTTCCCTCCCAAATGCTTGAGAATTAGTGATAAAATCAACAGTTAATGCAGAGAGAACATCCATGTAGCAACTTACATAACCCACATGCAAGTCAGTTTAGGGCCAACAATGGCATTCAGCTCAGAAGCACTAAGAAGAAGAATCAAACCTGACCAAGGATGAGTGAAAACAAATTTAACGTGTTGACGTAAGAGGAAGGGACCTCACGTACTGACTGTATAGGCTGGTGAGGCAATGGGGCAAGTTTATCTTCTTCATCGTGTCATTAAATTCCCCAACAATCCTAGGAAGTAGGCTATTCCCCCCACTTTACGAATGCAGTGGGTTATTGTGGCCATTTTGCGACATGAAGAAGCTGAGGGCAAGCACGTCACCGGGGTTACGTGGTGGCAGGGGCAACATTCCAACAGGTCTTCCCACCCCAGCCCATGTTTTTGAAGGAACTGTCCCCTGAAAAGGAGGAAAGCAACGGGGACAGTTGCTCCAACAGGCAAACGGCGACAGTGCGTTCAGTGAGGCTGCCTGACCATGGACTTACTCCTCGGTGGTGTAGGTGGGACTTAGGGTTCACGCCATGACACGGCAGTCGTTCAGCTGATTACCCGACTCCAAGTTTCCCCAGCCAGCCGATGAGTCAGCTCTGCCTTCTCTTGCCACTTCCCTTCGGGGAAAGGGTGACCCGCCCTTGCTGCGTCGGCACCCTGAAAGTCTGCCGTCTGCGTCTCCCTTAGGGGCCGGGAAGCGTGACCCAGGGATACTGGTCATCCCGCAGGCTGGGGCCTTCTGGAGCCCACAGGACCAGGCCTTCGACCCTCTGGGCCTTGAGGTGCTGCCACCGTGCAAGGCCCCGACTAGCTGGCCTCCTCCGTCCGCTGCGGTGGCCTCAGACCAGCGCTGAGCAGCGAACAGGGAGTCTGGATCTGAAACGCACGCGATGCGCCAAGCTCACCTTTTCATCAGAACCGTTCTTCCAATACTGCATATTATAGACCCAGGAGTTATAAATATTCGCCATGGTCCATGATTCGTGTTCCTTCTCGATTCGGGGCGCCAAGAAACGTATATGCAAAGAGTCAGCAAGGGCTTCCATGTGAATCCCAGGAGGTCCGATGACGGCTAAGTGTGAGAACGAAGCAAAACGACAACCAAAAGTCACATTCTGAAACCGTCAGCGTTTATTTTCCGTAACGGTGCAGGTCCACGGGTCTCCTGAAATGCGCTGCCCTTGGACACGCCACCTCTGTGACCCTGATGGGCGGGGGACTAAGAAAAAACGAATCCGATAACCTTTGCCTTTGTGAATCATATTGGTCTGTTTAAATTTACTGTGATTTCTGATACATTTGAAATTAATCCAAGTACATTATTTTGTGTTTTCTATAAAGACTGTCCCTCCCCCACCCCCGGGTATTCCTCTTTTCTTTGCATTAAGTTGAATTTGTTTTATTTCCGTTGCTGGTTTGGAAGCTACAGATGGTATTTGTATTATTTTTAGTGTTTAACATATATAATTAACCATGTGCATTTTTCAATAAGGTCTAACGACCCATTCCCAGTGCTCTTTCACTCGGTATTCGCAGACCGGCCTCCTTACTTTGTTTGGGTCTCAGCTCACATCTGCCTCCTCAGAGAGCTGTCCTCACCCCCTAGGACGGAGCGGCTCCCATCCCTTCCTGCCTGGGCACCTTGCTTTATGTTCTTGAGAGACACAGTCACTACTATCTGTCGTAAAACATGTCTCTATTTGTCTACTGTCCGCCTTCCCACTAGGATGCATGTTGCACCAGGATGCGTCCTGCTCTCTGGTGCAGCTTCAGCACCGAGAAAGCCTGCACACGACAGGTGCTGCGGAACAGCTGTAGACCAGATAGTACAGGACTCGGCAACCTCGCTGTTCTGCGTTCTCTCTGCTGCCAATGGGCCTGCTCCTAGCATCCTCCCTCACTGCTAATCTGCCGGCAGCCAGAAACCAGGTAAAAAAATACCCGTTAACTATTTTTCCAAAGCAAGTGTAAACAGTTTCCACATAATGCGGAAGCACGTTCCTATCATAAACTTCAAGAGGCAAACGTCCGAGATGGGCCCTGTGGCGAAGGGCGTGGGTGCAGGAGTCTGGGTCCGAACCCCCGCTGTGTCTCTGCCTCCGTGACTCGGGCGAGCTGCGCATCTATTCCGAATCAGCTTCTAGAGAGCACTTCCAAAACCAAAGGCTCTGAAACAGGGTCTGTAACTAGTCAGGACCTGGTAAGTCACCCGGCACTGGGAGCAGAAACCTGTACTATATTTTGGAGACTGTTGTTCAGCTGTCTGCACTTTTTTTTTCTTTTTTAATCCTCACCCGAGGATATTTTTCCATTTTTGCTTCGGATAGAGTGGGAGAGAGGGAGAGACACAGAGAGAGAGAGAGAGAGAAACATCGATGTGAGAGAGACACATGGATTGGTTGCCACCCACACAACCCCAACCGGGACAAAGGCTGAACCGCAACCAACGTCCTTGCCCTTGGCTGGAATCGAACACGGGACCCTTTGGTCCGCAGGCCAACGCTCTAATCGTTGAGCCAAACCAGCCAGGGCCTGTCTGCATTTTTTAATGGTTACTTTTTTCTTAGATTTATCAGAGGTACCTTTAGAAGAGACAATATAGCTTTGATAATTTCTGACTCTAGAAATGAGATCTCCCCTCCCCTCCCCCCGCCCAAGCCTGGGACAGAGCTGGGAAAGGGCAGAAGGACAGACGAGCTGCCTTCTCTCCCCAAAAGGGGAAATTGTGGGAGCCACCGGGGCCCAGGGCAGGGAGTGGTATGGAGACAGCCCTTCTGATGCTTCTCTCTAGTCCCTGGAAGGGTGCGCTTGAGTTTCGTTGATGAGGTTCTTGTAACCTCTCTCAACTGCTATCTAATGGTTTAATTAGTTTTCCATTCCTGACGTCCTAGTTACGTTCATCTCATGACCCTCCAGATCTAACCTGGGAACATGTTTTTGATGCTGACCAGCCAGCCTGATCCGCCTCTCTGTCCTCCATTCTGGGCAAGCTGGCTGTCCACACCTGGTCTGCCTGTCTCCACACCTACCTAGAATACACTTGTCTTATGCCTGCGCCACCTTTTTCAACTCATAATTCCAAACTGACTTCCTCCCAGAAAATGTACTCCAGTCAGGCCCCACATAATGGCATGTGGGTCAACCATGGGCCACGTGTATGACGGTGGTCCCATAAGATGATAACGGAGCTGAAGAAGTCCCATCGCCCAGTGATGTCACAGGCGTCATGATGTCATAGAGCAATGCATTACTAACGGGCTGTGGTGATGCTGGTGTAAAAAAACCGTGCTTCTAGTGGCATAAAAATATAGCAAGCACAGTTACGTAGAGTACCTAATATTTGATAATGGTAATAAGCAACTATGTTACTGGTGTATGTATCTACTATGCGATACCTTTTATCATTATTTTAGAGTATATCCTTCCTACTTAGAAAATAAAGATGTTTGCTAGAAAACAATAGCCATTTATGCCAGAAGCAGCTTCATACATCTTGTGTTTACCACATCTCTCTCTCTCTCTCTCTCTCTTTTTAAATCCTCACCTGAGGATATTTTTCCATTAATTTTTAGATAGAATGGAAGGGAGGGAGGGAGAGAGAGAAACATCGATGTGAGAGAGACACATCAACCGGTGGCCTCCTGAACGACCCTGACTGGGGCCAGGGATCAAACCTGCAACTGCGGTACGTGCCCTTGACCGGGAATTGAACCCGAGACCCTTTGGTGTGCGGGCCGACGCTCTAGCTGCTGAGCCACACCGGCCAGGGCCACATCGCTTGACTGCGTCATTTTCTCTTTTGCTTGATTCAGTCTGGGAGTGTTTTATAACTTTGGCATAGCCCAAGTGTGCAGCGTTTGCAAAGCCGACAGGCGTGGGCAGGATGTCCTCGGCCACCACGCTCACGCACCCTCACCGACTCGCCCAGGCCAGCTCCCAGTGCGAGCTCCGCTCCCAGGGGCCTGCCCAGGCACCGTCCCGATGGCTCCTGCCAGCTCGCACTGCGCCTTTCCCGCGGCAGGGGCACAGATGCCGGGGCGCCGCCGTGCCCGCAGTGCCCAGGAGCAGCGGGCGAGGCCAGGGCGGAGCAGGCGCCCCCATCCAGGTGTGGGCGGGCCATCCTGTGATGCTCCGTAGCAGTGAAGTCACCTAGCGACACATCTCCCCAGAGGAATCCCCGCCGGCCCGCGGTACAGACCGCACATGAATCATCCCAGATCCCCTGACAACAGCGCCGGCCCCGCTCAGTCTCGCCCCGAAGGCATCAAGTTCGTAAATTCATATTTACTTATCTTCCTGACTTCGTGCCCACCCTTTCCTGTCTCGCCCACGAACTTCTGAAAGGCCACAATCCTCTCGACCACACGTCCCGTGGGCTCCTTGTCGGAGGCCAGGACAGGGGGCGCTCAAAGCGTCCCTGCCGAGGGGCCGGCCAGCGGGGAATCCCAGGGCGTGAGGGTGACTTACTGTCAGCGACAGGACAGAAGGTGATGTTCACCCAGGCGGAGTGCTGGTCGGCGAGTTCAGCCCTCACTCGCAAGGTGTGGTCGCCGTACTTCGACAGATGGGAGAAGTCGCACTCGGTCCCCCTGGTGCGGGTGCACAAGTCCTGGAACTTCCTGTAACTACACACCCGGGAAGAGAAGCCGTCAGCATCCTCACTCGTCTCCCGGGAGCGGGCGGCCGCCTCTGCCCCCGCTACCGTGGACAGAGATAGAGAAGAAGAAAACGACTCTTCTTAAAAAATTTAAAAAATTTTTTCTTTATTGATTTAAATTTTTTTTTTTTTTTTATCCTCACCCGAGGAGATTTTTTTGTTTTTTGTTCAGATAGAGTGGGAGGGAGAGAGAGGAAGAGAAAGAGAGAGAAACATCAACGTGAAAGGGACACATCAAGTGGCCGCCACCCACACGACCCAACCAGGGCCGGGGACAAACTGCAACTGAGGTACGTGCCCTTAGTGGGAACCGAACCCGGGTCTCTCTGGACCGCAGGCCGCCGCTCTAACCGCTGAGCCAAACCGCCCAGGGCTCTTTATTGATTTTAGAGAGAGAGGAAGGAAGGAAGGAGACAGAAACATCGATGAGCGAGAACATCGACTGGCTGCCTCCTGCACGCCCCCCACTGGGGATGGGCCCAGAACCTGGGCATGTGCCCTGACTGGGAATCAAACCAGCGACCTCTTGGTGCGTGGGTTGGTGCTCAACCGCTGAGCCACACTGGCTGGGCGAAGGAAACGTTTTATCATCAGTTCTGAGGACTGGAATGCATCATTTAGGAGCATTTTACACACTGTGCTCCATGGGACCTTCCTAACCCTGAGCCACCATGAGACGCTTCAAAGCAACCTGTTCCACGGCCAAGCAACTCGGGGCAAAAAGTGGGCTGAACATGAAGAGGGGTCTGTCTTTTTTTTATTAATTTGTTTTTGTTACAGATGTTTCTCCTTTTCCCCCCATTGACACCATCCTCCCCTTACCCCCGGCCCCATCCCCAGCTTTGTTTTCTATGTTCATTGGTCATGCATACATGCATCTAAATTCTGTGGTTTATCTCTCCCCCCCAACCACCCTCGTCTGAGGCTTGTCAGCTTGTACCCACCTCTATGTCTCTGGGTTAATTTTGTTCAACAGTTTGTTTAGTTCTTTATATTCCACAAATAAGTGAGATCATGTGATATTTGTCTTTCTCTGCTTGGCTTGTTTCGCTTAGCACAATACTTTCCAGGTCCCACCATGTTGTCTCAAAGAGTAAGAGATCTTTCTTTCTTACAGCTGCATAGTATTCCATTGTGTACATGTACCACCACTTTTTGATCCACTCATCTACTGATGGACACTTGGGCTGTTTCCAGATCTTAGCTGTTGTAAATAGTGCTGCTATGAACATGGGGGTACATATATAGTTTCTGATCGGTGTTTCAGGCTTCTTAGGGTGTATTCCTAGAAGTGGGATCACTGGGTCAAATGGCAGTTCCATTTTTAACTTTTTGAGGTAACACCATAGTGTTTTCCTCAGTGGTTGCACCAGTCTGCATTCCCATCAGCAGTGTACTGGAGTCGAAGAGGGGTCTGTCTTCACGACAGAATTTCTCAGAGACTTTCCTGTCCTCAGGAGCATGTGCCTCCCCAGAAGGGGGTCAGGTCCTCACACATGCGACCGAGGCAGCTTCCTCCTTGATTTTGTGTTTCTGAGAACAGTGGGACATGTTCTGTGCAATGTTGATACACACAGATTAGCCACAATAAATCCATGACAGTGACGTCAATGACTTTGTTGTACTTACTCTGGGAAAACAATAAACAATTCGCTGACCTCAGATCCCCAGCCCTGACAGCAGCCACTGAAGGGAGGGGTCAGAAATGCGACGTGGAAGGACAAGAGGATGGCTGGGAACACCTGCCAGGTGCGTGTGACCTCACCTCACCACAGCGTCAGAGGCGTGACCGGCCCCACCTGACCCGAGCAAAGCCAGGATTCTGGCTGGCCGGCAGCCGAGGGTTTCGTGTGGCTGGTTCCTCACCACACCTTCCTGGGGGCGCCACAGCCAATCCGGCTGCACCCAGAGGTGATAAGGAAGTCGCTGATAAAAACACCCGCATCTGACCCTGGTTGCGGGCTTGGTGTCAGGCCTGGTGCTCACAACGCCAGGAGGGCAGAACCAAAATTACTGCTACTTTATGGGGAACCTCAGACTGGTGCCCCCGCTTGGGGCTGCTCGGCGGGGTTAGGCCCCCGCCACACCTGGCCCCTGCTTAGGGAAGGCGGGACCATGTCCTGTGCAGAGCGGGCAGAGCCGACCGGCCCCGGGCAGTGTGCAGGCTGCTCTCCCGCTGCCCACACCACAGACGTTCTGCCAGTCGAGCAGCAACTCTGGCCGCCCCCCATCGGCGTTTGGAGACTCCGGGGTCATTTCATTCAGGGGGTTTCTCACAGGGGGCCACTGCCTTCATTTAAACGAATGCATCGATTGGCTGGAACACAGACTGTTTCCAAGGTGCTTCTGCATAACTTTTCTTTCACTAGGTTAGTTTTATCGCATTTAGAACCGTTTTTCTCCCCATTAAATAGGCAAAATGACCTATTCCCCACATTTCCGCTGAATCCTTTTCAGATGTTTCTATAGTGAAATCATGAGCACACGCTCCGGCCGCCCGTCCAGTGCCCCCACAGAAGACGGCCTGCGACCGCTCAGGCGGAACTCTCAGCAAAGCTTGCTGAGCCCTGGGAGACGCATCCGTCTTCTGGACCAAGTTTCTGCCCCAAGGACACACGCAGCACGTCTGTGTCCCCAGCGCTTCCTCGCCAAGGAGACCTGGAACCCAGGCCCCGTCTCGCAAGTTCCTGGGAAGCCACGGGGTACTCTCAGCTGCAGACCAAACTGCTCAGCTAGGAGCGCAAAGAACAGCACAACAGAAGTAACCCCCAGCGGAGAGGCAGCAGGAGGGAGGCTAAGGCGCCACAGTGCCCCCTCCAGAGCTCGGGACTGCGTGGACAGAGCAGAGGAAGCGAGAAGACCACCAGCACTGGGAACTGACGGCAGAGGAAAGACCTTCGGTCCTCGGGAGAACAAACAGAACCGGGCTGCAGACGGGGCACCTGACGGACGCCCCAGCCAGTGTGAGCGCTGCCGACGCCGGTGACTGTGGGGACGCAGGATGTCTTTGCTCTGATGATATGCACAGTGAAATACTGAGGGCCAAGAGCATGACGTGGGAGGGGGGAAATGCGTGAACCTTAGCAACTGTGAATCTGGAGCGAGGCTTCTAGGAAGTTCTTTGTTCTGTATTTGAGATTTTGAAACGTTCTGTTAGCTTGGAATTACTTCGAAGTAAAAAGTTGGAAATAAAAGTGACCAAGGACGGTCTCATTCATCTCTCCACTTCTTCTGGGACTTAGTAGGCCTCGGCTGTGTGTGAAAGGGGGGCTGTGGGGAGTGCGGGGTTCATCGACTCTGGGACCCACCTTTCCTCGTGCGCCACTGAATGACTCGTATCTCTACGTTTCTGAGTCACCTGGAGCGGGAGACCTGCTGCGGTCTGCACCTGGCATAAAGGTTGGTCCCCTGCTGTCCAGCCTGCGTGCGGTGGCAGGCTGCTGGGGAGGCTGGTGCAGAGAGAGACCCAGGCAGGGCAGGGCCTGGGGTCAGAGCCCCGCGAAGACAGTCCTCTGGGACACTCACCCTCCCCTCCTTCAAAGACTCAGATGACATCAGAGAACAGAGCTTTAACCAGCCAGCAGCTGTCTTCTGTAGCCGCCGCGGAGCACTGAGCGCCGCTGGGCAAACGGCCTGCTCCCGCGGCGGAGGGGTGGGGACAGACGGCCAGGGCCTCTCCCACCTGGCCCCCGTTTCCTTGGGTGGCTTCCACCAGGTGTTGCAGACTGTTCGTTACTACGCGGATCACCGGGATGCCGTCTGCGACGGTGTCCTCTTAAAAACCACCCGTGTGACAGATTTGTTTGCTTTACAGTAGGCGACCCCTGTGGCCGGTGGCATCAACATCCACACGATAACAGGTCTCTAGCCACCGCTGTCCCTGGGCATCCAACCATGAACCACGACAACACGACGAAGGAAGCGGAATTGGACTCGTCTGTTTTCAGAGAACAGAGCTTTCGCAAGCATTTCTCGACCAGAAAGGAAAGGCCGGCAGGGAGGCTCCCGTGGCTGTTGTGGCTGCGTGGGTGACCGTGGTTAGAGTTTCTCCTGTGGCTCAGCCCAGTGACCAGCCCAGAGCCACCGCCCTCGGGCACCCTCCTGCCAACAACAGCCCAGACTCACCTTTGGTACTGCGCTGTGAAAGTCAGATTCCCTTTGGGGAAAGCAGGCGCCTCCCACTTCAGAATGCTCTTGAAGTTAACGGAGTGTATTCTGACATTTTCAGGAGGCGGCACCATTCCTAATGCTGTAAATACAAAGGGGAAGAGTTTGCACCTTTTGTCCTCAAAATGGTTGCCCAAGAAAGTGATCAGATCCAACCCTCGGGTCTCCCCTATGATCCGCGTCTTGGAGTGGGTGCGTGGGGGAGGAAGAGAGGTGTGAGGGAGTGGGCGACGGAGTTTGGGCACATTCCCAGAGGTATAAACTCTAGACTGCCCGACACATTTGCTGTGGAGAAGTGGAACTTAGTCTCCATCCCTGGCTTGAGCCCTGATTGGGGTGGGGGTAGGGGGCAGGAAAAGCCACATGAGGTTTGGGGTGCTGGAGACAGAAGAACAGCATGTCAGGGACAGCAGGGTGATGGAGTCCGAGGCACTGCAGACAGATTTAGGCTAGAGACAGAAATCATTTTTAAACTTGTTCACAGAAAATGTCAAACATACACAAAAGCAGAGAGATGACTATAAAATACCTTCACCAGCCCGTCACCCAGCTAGTGCCAACAGACAGTGAATTCTGAGCCATGGGTCCCTGGCTGGTATTTAATAGCAAGGTTCTGCTGATATCCCCCAAAGGGATGCTGCAGGGAAAGAGAAAAGAGGGCATGGACATGAACTTGGCCGAGCTCTGGCCGTGGTGGAGAATCCTGAGTGGAAACAGCCTGAGGGGAAGAAGGGAGACACCAGGGACAAGTCCATCAGAAAGGAAGGAGGGGCCATCCGTGTCTGCACCTGGGCAGCCAACTCAGAGAAGGGGGAACCCAGGGGTCCCTATGGCTTGGATTACACTGAGTTTTAAATCCTAGTTCTAGAAACAGCACGTCTTTCTATACCCTACAGAGACCTAGTCTTTCTTTTTTTTATTTTTATTTTTTTATCCTCACCCGAGGATATTTTTCCATTTTTTGTACAGATAGAGTGGGAGGGAGAGAGAGGAAGGGAGAGAGAGAGAGAAACATCGATGTGAAAGGGACACATCGAGTGGCCGCCACCCGCACGACCAAGCAGGGCCGGGGACAAACTGCAACCGAGGTACGTGCCCTTAGCGGGAACCGAACCCTGGTCTCTCCGGACCGCAGGCTGACGCTCTAACCACTGAGCCAAACTGGCCAGGGCGAGACCTAGTCTTTCTGCAGATAATCAGCCTGGACCTGACTGATGGGCACAGGCTCAACTGGACCTAAGTTATGTTTCAGCTCCTGAGCCCTCAGGGGAACGCCCCCAGCTACTCTGCCATGAGACCAGACGGAGAGACCAGGGAACAGACCCCAGAGCTGTCCCCAAGACCAAGGAGATGATTTGTCACCCTTACCTCACCTCTGACAACCAGCTCCCACCCCCATCCCCACCCGCCGGTGTCTTGTGACTTTCCCTATATCACTGTCACCTACATGCCGTGGGCAGGTGGAGCTTTGAGCATTAGCTCCTGGTCTCCTGGTGACGCCATTCATGACAAAAGGCCCATGGTCTCCCCTCAGCTCTGGTGTCTAGGGTCTGGCTCTGCCAGCCCGGATGGACACACTTTCTGCCCTGTCACAGGGGCAGAAAGGGTCTCACTGTTTTTAGAACTCGGAAGCCACAGAGTTGGAGTTGAGGGGGCATAATTCGGATGTTGGGGTGCTGAGCGGGTGGCCTACGGAGCACTGGTTACTTCCAGGGTGTCTGAGGGGTCCGCTCAGGGGTGACCCTTGGGGTCATCGCTGCCCCACGTCCCTGCCGCCCCCCACCCGTTTCCCTAGCGCACCTCGGCCGGGAGGCGTGGGGCCCAGGCGGGTCGTCCCCCTGCAGGTGGCCAGGCCCGGGGAAGAGCCGGCGCCCCGGGCCGCCCCCGCCCTCCTCGCAGAGCCTCACCTGACACCAGGAGGCAGCCGCCCAGCCAGCTCCGGAGGCTGCGCGCCATGGCCGCGGGGAGCCCGAGGGCCCGGCAGGGGCGGGCGGCGCACACACCCCGAGTCCCCTTCGCGCCGAACCTGCGGCCCAGCCCTAGGCCGCTTCCGGGACCGGCGGGGGCGGGGCTAGCCGGCACCCCACCTTCGCCTGTCCCCGCCCCTTTCTCGGCCTCCCGGGTCCCCAGAGGCCGCCCTCTCGTTACAGGCTGGAGGGGGCGGAGGAGGAAGGGGATCCTGCTGGTCTCCCCGAAGCGTGGGAAACATCGGGAGTGAAACTGTCGTGCTCCGCCCGAGATGCCTGCTCCGAAAGGGGGTGTCTGCTGGGAAGGGGGGTGCCAGGTCCGAAAGGGGGTGCCTGCTGGGAAAGGGGGTGACTTCTCCGAAAGGGGGTGTCTTCTGGGAAAGGGGGAGCCTGCTCCGAAAGGGGGTGCCAGGTCAGAAAGGGGGTGTCTGCTGGGAAAGGGGGTGCCAGCTGGCTGGTAGATGGCGGCTGGGGTGGTGGATCCCCGGTGAAGCGCACGCCCCAGCGGCCCCCCCAATCTTAAAGATCGCAAAGCGCCCCATTGGCAAATCCAGGGTCCCCTTTCCCCTTCAGGGACGAACTTGTCTCAAACCCAGGTCGTTTATTCAGCAAGGACACTGCCCAGAAAGGCTTGATTTCCTCCTTTGAAACTCGCACAGTGAGGCTGGAAAACCCCGGGCACCGCCCGTCTGACGCAGAGGTCCCCGGGCCACCCCCGAGGTAAAGCGCCCGGGGCGGCCGCAGCGGTGCCGAGCAGAACCCCACACCTGGCACGTGCGCGCTGGAAGGAGAAACAACTCTCCAAGCGCATGGCTTCCGCGCTGAAAAATGTATCTGCAGTCTTTCCCAGGCCTCGGACAAAGTGTAGCAACACGCGGGCGCACACTGCCCGGAGAGGTTACCCAGGAAGCTCGCCCCGAAATCTTTCAAGAATGACAGAGGCCTCCGGAGGGCAGAGACGGCTGTGCACCGTAGATCACTTCCCTGCGGAATGTCACGAGAGTCAGAGAGGGGCACAAGCCACAGAACTTATATGCAGCGGACAGGGGCAACCACGCTGGGGCGCGGACCGGGAGGGGCAGGAGGCTGTCCATGGGGGGGAAAGGGGAAACATCTGTAACAAAAATAAAAATTGCAAAAAGGTAAAATAAATTAAAGTGCACTGGAGGAAAATAAAATAACAAAGGATCCCTTTAATCTTTTGTACATTGCCCCAGCTCTGCTGTGGTTTTTCCAGACAGTTCAAGGGCAGCTGGACCAGGAATAGTTTCTGGACTGGACCATGAGTCCTACTGAGCCTGGCACATTAGGTCTATCTTCTTCTTTCTTAGCAACTGGATGCCAATTTTGCAAACAGTTCCCTGATGTGCCTTACATAATAGCTGGGTGAAGGGAAAGAAAAAAAAAGAATTTCATGAGATTAACACTCCCCCTCTCCATTGAGCTACTTTAGGGCAATTATAAAAAAAATAATTTATTCAAAGCCCTTGAACTAACATTCATGCCATTTGTGTTCCCCCCTTTGACTGGACCCAGAAGAAAGGTCTGAGAACCCAGCTCCCAGGTGAGGGGTCGAGGTAGGAGGTTCTATACCTTTGCTTCACCCTGGGCGCCTCTCGGTGTGGCAACACCTCCATCAGAGTCTCGAGTCCTGGGTAGTTCCTAATATTTCTCCTAGCATCGTAGGATCTTGGAGATGAGCTAGTCCAGTCTCCTTATTTCACAAGTGAAGAAACAGGCTCAGAGAGGCTAGGCAAAATGCTCAGGGTCACACAGATGGATTTGGAGGAACGCGTCCCAGTCCTGGGTGCTGGCTACTGGCATTCTGGGACCCCTCCCCGCACTCCCCCCCAGGAAGTCGAGCCATTAATTCTTCTGAAGACCTAAAGCACTTGTTTTCTCTCGCTTTTAGGAAAATCTCACGACAGGGCAGCAAAGTTCTCTCCCTCACGCAAATGTGTGTCCTCTGTTCTCACCTGCGACGCTGCAGAGGCCTCTGTGTGCATGTCCCTCTAGGACTGAGGAGGCTGGGCCGGGGGCCAAGTGCAGTTCCAGGGCAAGGCATCAGAATGTGTCAGCGGGGAGGTGCCACGTCCTGGCTGGACCGGCCTCCCCTTTGCGGGGCTGGGAAGACTGCCCGCTGCCCCTGCTGCGAACCCTCGGGCTTCCCTCGCCCTCCTACGCCCACCCTGGCCCCACGTAATCACTCCCAGGGTCCTGGGCCATGGAGCCGTGCTCCTTCGGGAAACTGAGGCAGAACATGATAAACGCATGACCACAGGACAGGGCATTTCCCCTTCAAGGCCTGTCACTTTGAACACGTAAAAAATGCACACGCACGGACACCAGGACACTGTTTCCCTCCCCTCGGCCCACACTGGAATGTGACAGGTGAGGTCACCAGGAAGAAGGGGGGCACTCTGCCCCCAGAGAACACCTGCAGGCCACAGGGGCAGCGAGGGGATGGCAGGAGTAGCTGTCAGTTCATTCAATATTTGGGGGTTCATCTCATGATATAACCATCACCGCCCAATTTCGAAGTGTCACTCTTATCAAAAGGAGCATCTGGAGGCTGCAACCCCTCCGCGGGGGGGCAGGGCAAGCAGGGCCGCGTGCCTTCTCCACGGGTCCACGGGAAGCCCGGCTCCATTTCGTGGGGTTCCTCCGAGTCGGCTGTCTCTTCTGGAAGAGCGAACACTGGAGGGACTTCCGAGTCATCGTCGTCGAGGACCCTCACGAACACAGAGTTCAAGTCCACATTGAAGAAAATTCTGTCCCCAGAGTTCTCGGTAGAGTTGCTGTCCTCCTCGGGAAAGGGGTCCCCCAGCCCGGCCCCGCCCACCTCGCAGGCCCCGCGGGCGCATTCCCACGGCCCTGCGGCCATCAGCGCCTGGGACTCGGCCTCCGGCGCGGGCGGCTCGGGCTCGGGCAGCTCGGCGTCCTGGGCGCCTGGGTCGCTGCCGTCCTCCAGGGTGGCCGAGGAGGAAGTGGACGTGGGGCACAGAGGCCTGACTTTCAGTCCGTGCATGGTATAGCCCCCCACGCTGGCTCGGGGCACGACTTCAGTGTCGCTGTCACTCTCGTCATCGTAGTTGTAATCCCACACTTTCTTCTTTCTGTTGACGTGAATGACCTCCAACATGGCCACGGCCTCCAGGGGCGGCAGCACCAGGCCGACCCAGGCCGGTGAGTTATCAAATTTCTTTGGGAGAGAGAGAGAGAGGGAGGGAGGGAATCAATTGTGAGTGTTCTGCATTTTCTGACACATTGACAGCTGAGAGGGGTTGTGCATAGTGAGCACGGTGACAGCCGTCGGCTGCCGGTTCGAGCCTCGCCGTTGGCTGGCGCTGCTGTGAGCCCCCAGGTGCTGGTTGCGCCCTCACAGCCGCCCTGTGCTGCCCTTGGCAGGGGACAAAGTGGGCAGAGAGGTCACAAGGCGGCCCAGGGTTCACGAGCAAGTCAGCACAACTCGGATGTCAAATGAGGCAGGCGGCTTGAGCTCAGAGGTGCCCGGGCTGATCCCCCCCGTCCCTGCTGCCTGCATTCGGGGTTACCGCAACATTCTCAGGGGTGCTGAGGGACTGTGGGTGAGGACAGACCGTAGGGAGCCGGTTCCACTGGGGTCAAAGCCCCCTGGACTGACCTCTGAAGGCCTGGGACAACAGGCTGGGGTTCACGACATTCCAGCCCTCGGAGGGAAACACCCCTAGAACACGGGTCGGGGGAGCCGAGGAGAAGGCAGCAGGCAGGCCGAGTGTCTCCCAGGGGGGCGAGAAATGGGGAGGTTCCCTCCCAGGCCCGGCCGCCGGACACCAGCAGCATCCCCCTCCTCTCTGTTCCCCGTGGCTGCTCCTCCCTGCTCCCCCAGACCCCGCTTGGGGCGAGCTCTCCTCCTGGGCTGGTCATCTGTTTTCTTATTGGCTCATAGGACCTCTTTACATCATCTGAATGCTAATTACTTGTCGATTATTTGTTACAAAATTGTCCCCCGTCTGTGGTTTCATTGTTTTACTCTCTTTATGATGACATCTGAGCAAAGGAAAACGCTTACTTTTCATGTAAGAACAGGTATCAGTGTTCTTCCTTTATGGTTTTTGCTCTTTGTGCCCAGGAATCTTCCTTATCCCAAAGCCACAAAGCACCCCGATGTGGCCTTATAAAACACGAACCGTCTGCCTGTCCCCTTACGGTACCCAACAAGGCACGTGCCAGCCAAGGTCAAACACCTCCCCTACCCACCCAACCACTATAAACAAGAAGAAGAAGAGGACTTTTAACAACTGTGGAGGAATATTTAAATATGTACTGTTAAAAGAGTATAAGAAGGTGAATGCGCTCAAACATAGAAAAACAAGATATTTCTGAATGAAAAACTCCAAGGCGAACAGAGAAAGGAACACTGGGGGCACGCTGACAGACGACGGGCAGACGGGCAGAGACAGGAGGAGGTGCAGGGGCGCGGACCCCCCGCACTCGGCCCCCTGCTGAAGGGCGCGAACAGAGGCGCTGGCCGTGGGAAGCTCAGAGGCGAACAAGACAGAGTGGCTGGTTTCACTAACGATGAAGGGACACAAATGAGAGCAAGTATGGGGGCTGTGACACACACAAGTGCACCAAAGTGGTGAAAATGGTGAATGAAAGTCAGCAGAGCTCGGGAGAACTGTGCGCACCTGCATGTCACCACTGGGGCCGTAAATCATTTTTAATGTTATTTCTTGACTTTCTTAGAGCGAGAGGAGAGAGAGAGAGAGAGACATCGGTTGGCTGCCTCCTGCACGCCCCCTACTGGGGATCGAGCCTGCAACCCAGGCATGTGCCCTGACCAGGAATCGAACCGGGACCTCTCGGCCCATGGGACGACGCTCCATCCACTGAGCCACACCGGCCGGGCATAAATGACTTCTCTATCTTTTCATAAGGAAAGTTCACTTTGTGCACATGCTCCACTGAAGAAATCCCACATAAAGAGATAATCTGTATAAAAATGTTCACTGTGTTATTCTGAGTGGCCAAGAAGAACAAAAGGAAGTGGAAAGAAAGGACAGAGAAATCGACTTACATGCTCCACAACCGGGAAGCGATAAGGGGAAGATGTTTGATGTGTTCATGACAATGGAATAAGACTGGCCGCTAGTAACATGTGGACAGAGGACAAAAAGAAAACAAAATGCAAAGTGGGTTTATAAGGACGGAAAAGAATGCCGCGTGACGAAGCACCCTGGTGTTTCGAGAAAATGGAACTTCCTTCTGTGCAAACATTCAGTGACAGAATCAAAAGTCTTAAGTGAGAACGGAAAAACAGAGCCAGAAATGAAAAAGCACACTACATACCAACACTGTCGGTAACTTGCTCTGCAAGCATATGTACCCGATCCGTTTCAGGGCTACTCCTGCGCTTATGCACACAGCTGAGAGTAAAAACACAGTCATCATCAATTTTCCTATTTTGGCAGATTCTGATGACTCTGTTGATGAAAAATTAAATGGTTTTATTTCAAAATACATCCAACAGATGGCCGCGGGCGGATGAATGAGCATCGGTCTGGTGGTGGAGAGGTGCCGAAGGAGCCAAGGTCAGGAAAACCAGTGTTAGATACAAAAATGAAAATGGAAAGTAACCCAAGTAGACACCTAAAAAAATGATAAAAATGACAAATGTAGTTTTAAAAGTAAAATGACTTTCCCTTTGTGTTCTCTGACAGCACTGACCCATATGGTGGCCGCTGGCCACCTGTGACTACTTAAATGCAATTGATCAGCATCGGAAATACCCCTCAGTTTCTAAGACGCACCAGCCGCAGGCCACGTGCGCCAAGGCGGGAACCGTGGGCAATGGGGGTCTGCCTGAAATCAACAACTGGGTCATCCTAAGGTAGACTTTGGTCAGGCCAGGACCCCAAATCCAGGCTCTCTCTATTCTCTTTGTTTTATTAGGAGCTCCCCCTTAGAATCTTGCCCACATTCCTTCGGGAAATGTCAACATTCTCACTGCGAATACTTTTACTCCACGCGTCCACTCCGTTACCGTGTCCGTCCCGCCCTCTCTGCCTGTAGGAACATCCCACTCGGCACAGGTCCCCGGAGCAGCCTTCTGGCTGCCGGTCCATGAATTACTTCATAAAGCCAAGCAGATCTTCACATTTAAGTGGTTGGATTTTGTCTTTAACCTGACCCATTTGAGTTTTTACTAGTGGGTCTTTATGAGAAATTGGGGTTTGTAATAAGACATATAGACACGGGCCTGACCCAGTCCCTGGACTATCCTCAGTGATGAGCGCGAAGGGAAAAGGGGTGCCTTCGGAATTCATGAGCCCCGTCCAGCCACGGGACTGGAAGGTCAGAGCTTCCAGCCCCCCTCTGGAGGAGGTGCTGGTTTGGATTAGTCACCGATGGCCAAGGACTGAATCAGTCCTGCCTGGGTGATGAAGCGTCCATAACAATCCTCAACGTCTGGGCTCAGAGAGCTCTGGGCTGGTGAACCCCCCGAGAGGCAGGGCGGTGGTTCCCCCCAGAGGCAGGGCGGCGCCCACCCCTTCCCTCACCCCACGCGTCTCTCCGCTGGCTGCTCCCGAGTTGTACCCTTTGATACTAAACCAGGAATCTAGCAAGTAAACGGTTTTTCTAGAGTTCTGTGAGCTGTTCCAGCAAATTATCTAACCCGAGGAGGGCGTCTGTGGGAATCTCCAATTTATAGGTGGTCATCTGAAGCCCAGGTGACAACTTGGACTGTGACCGGCATCTGAAGGGGCCGGGGAGAGCGGTCTTGTGAGACTGACCCTTTCACCTGTGGGATCTGTCCCTCTCTGCAGGTTGTGTCAGAGTTGACTTAAGCTGAGGGACACCAAGCTGTCAGATAACTTCTTGGCCTGGGGGGGGGGGGGTCAAACATCTGGAGTACAGAAGTGTTCTGAGTAGAGAAGAAAAGCAGTTTCTCCGTTCAATTGATTATACGATTTCGTTTATAAGACCAGGAAACAGTAACAACAACAATAAAACGTGTGGCCTTGGAGCCTGGTTGCTGGCACAGAGCTTGAAAACCGCCGGGATTTCCTGAGCGACAGGATGCCTTTGAGGGACATATCTGCGTTGACGCCAAGGAGGTGGTTGACGGGGAGGTGCTAGGGAGCTCCAGGATGGGGCCGGGCACCAGGAAAATCAAGGTGTGATTCCAGCTGGAACTTAGGCCCCACCCGTGACCTCCAGGGAGGTGGAAGGGGCTGGACACTGAGGTCATCAGCAGTGGTCAATGATTTAATCGCAGCTACACGATGAAACCCAATACAAACCCTGGACGGGAGGCTTGGGCGTTTCCGGGTCACGGAAGCTATCTAAGCACTAGGGGGCGCTATCCTCTGGCTCTGAGGGGAGGGCTCCTGCACTTGAGACCCTTTCAGACCATGCACCTCTTCATCTGGCTGCTCCCTCCCATCCTTTCTAATGATAGATCACCAATCCTGAGTCCTACGAAGTCATTCTAGGGGATACTAACTCCGAAGGGGGTGTGGGAACCTGTGGGTGTGTAGTGAGGTTGGACCGCAGCGTGGGTAGTCTGGGGGCCTAGGACTCGACGCTGGGATCTGTCACGGGGCAAGCCTTGTGGGATTGAGCCCTTAACCTGGGGGGCCTGCACGAACTCCTTGGGCCTCCGTCAGAGAACGGGGGTTAGGACGTGCATACGGACGTTTGCGTGGGGCTGTGTTTCTGGAAGAGCTACTGGCAGAGAATCTGTGCACAGCTGTCGGCTGGCCCACAGTTACCTGGCCTCGGCCTGCACGTCACCCGCCTCTGAGGGACACGGGAGGACGGCCTCACGCCAGGTGCTGTGCAGCGTGGCTCACCTACCCCCCGACAAGCCACACCACGTGCGGTCACTCCCGTCGACCTCCCCGTACTCTGTTTTTACTCCGGAAAATCAGAACTTTGGAGAAACTCCCACTGGGGTTGGAAAACTCAGCAAGGTCCCTTTGGGGAAGATATTCATAGCTTTTCATTTCTGGCCAAACAGCTGGGGATGTGCCCTTCGAAGTAAACGCAGTGGACGCCCCTGAGCCTGGCCACTCTCCCTGCCCGGTTCCCCGTCCGGAGGAGGTGCAGGGATCACACCGTTCTGACGCCTTTGAAACAGAAGGGCCCTCAGTCTCATCAGTGACTACGACCTCGTCCACACGGGCAAGTCTCCCCGGCATCTGTGAGCTACAACCAACCATCCGAGAGCCAGGCCAGATCCACACACCACACCCAACCGGTCCGCGCGTCCAGCCGGTCGCCTCGGACCCCTGGACAAGCCTGCTGCCGGCATCCCGGCCGCCACCAGTGCTGGGCCCGGGCCCAGCGAAGGGCACACAGAACTGCCCTGACCCCTGGCTCCCTGCCCCGAGAGCGTTTCCACCGCAGGAGGCTGGCCGACCTTACAAAGGTGGCTACCTGACTGTCCCCATGGTCTGGTGACATGCCAGCGACTCCCCACTTGGAGGGGTCCCTGACTGGCAGAAAGCCCCTCTGCCGCGCTCCTTTAGTGGAAGAAACACTCAGGGCTCTGCAGCCTTCAGACCCTTTTCTCTAAGCAGGGTTTCCCTCGGAATAAAAGCCAAACAGGAATTTTATTTATTTATTTATTGATAATTCTCACCCAGGGGTATTTTTCCATTTATCTTCAGAGAGAGTGTATGGGTGTAGGGGGAGATCAATGTGAGAGGGACACATCGCGTGGCTGCCTCCTGCATGACCCTGACCAGGGCTGGGGACCAAACGGCAACCCAGCTACGTGCCCTTGACTGGAATCGAACCTGAGACTCTTTGGTCCGAGGGCTGACACTCTAACCGCTGAGCCAAACCAACCAGGGCCCAAACATGCATTTTAAAAACCTGTCCTACCTGATCCCTGTTCAGGCTGAAGATGGGTACATTTCAAGGGAGATCTATTTATTGTACGTAGATCCATAGGTTCAAAATAAACAGAGACACAGTAGTTGGTGTTTGGAATTAACTTGTTGATGACATAGGTGAAATCTCCGACGGTGTTTTCATTGATTTTGAGGTTATGCTGTAAAAATAAGCAAAAAAAAAAAAAAAATTAGTAAGACTTGGAGTAGAATTTTTAGACGCAAGTCCTAAGAATATCTTTGGGGATTTGTCTTCAAATCTTACGTAGGGATAGAAAGATCATACGGTTGGCAAGAAAAAGTATTTCTAAGTCACTTGGGGCAAGCAATTTGTCACCAAACTACAGGCACATGTACCCACACATGTTTTCATTTATTTGTTTCTTTTTAATCCTCATCCAGGGATATTTTTTCCATTGATTTTTCTGAGAAAATGAAAGGGGAGGGTCAGAAAGAGAGAGATGGAGAGAAACATCAGTGAGAGAGACACATCTCCCGGCTGCCTCTCTGGGACCAGGGATCGAACCTGCAGCGCAGGCCAGGGCCACACTCACATTTGTTTTTTTTTATCCTCACCCGAGGACATTTTTTTCCATTTTTTGCACAGATAGAGTGGGAGGGAGAGAGAGGAAGAGAGAGAGAGAGAGAGAAACATCGATGTGAAAGGACACATCGAGTGGTTGCCACCCGCACGACCAACCAGGGCCGGGGACAAACTGCAACCGAGGTACATGCCCTTAGCGAGAACCGAACCCGGGTCTCTCCGGACCGCAGGTCGACACTCTAACCGCTGAGCCAAACCGGCCAGGGCCACACTCACATTTGTAAAGTGTGAAATCTCTCTCTACAAATGAGGAGGAGCCCGGGCCTGTTTGGCTCAGCCGCCCTGGTCGGGTCGTGTAGGAGGCAACCAATCAGTGTGTCTCTCTCACATCGATGTTCCGCTCCATCATCTAAAGATAAAAGAAGAAAAAAATAACATCCTCCGGTGAGGGTTAAAAACACAAAACACGTGGGGAGGAAAAGTCCCAATGAGGAATGAAGGTCTCCACGAAGTCATTTCTGCACACTCCCCTTACCTTGCAATGAGATTATCTTGTTGCACTAATGGTGCATATCTACTTTACATTTCCGAGAGGACGGACTTCCATTAATGTGAACTCATTAGTCTGCCAGGTAGGCACTGCTCCTGTTCTCCAGGGGGGAACTGCAGTTCAGGGTGGTTAAGTAACTTTCCCGAGGCCACACAGCTCGCCTGCGGCAGAACTGAGGCTGGCGTTTGGTTCGTCTCCTCCCTTCACTCCCCTCGCCTCTTTCCCAGGTAGTTCTCTTCCATTTGGGAATCAGACAGAATCTATGGAGGGTCTTCTGTGTAATGACTCAGAGTTTTCCAAGTACATTCTTACTAGGTTTATAAATTAGGTTTTCTAGCAGCTCAAATACAGCCGCCTGTAATAATGTTTCTCTGTCGGTTTCTGTTTGAAAGGAGGGAGATTTGGTTATTTATTTTTAATGTTTAATTTTTATTTATTTATTTTTTTATCCTCACCCGAGGACATTTTTCCATTTTTTTGTTCAGGTAGAGTGGGAGGGAGAGAGAGGAACAGAGAGAGAGAGAGAAACATCGATGTGAAAGGGACACATCGAGTGATCGCCACCCGCACAACCGACCAGGGCCGGGGACAAACTGCAACCGAGGTACATGCCCCTAGCGGGAACCGAACCCAGGTCTCTCAGGACCGCAGGCCGACGCTCTAACCGCTGAGCCAAACCAGCCAGCGCTGGTTATTTATTTTTTAAAAAAATGCTTTTTCTTTATTGATTTTAGAGAGAGACAGAAACATCGACGAGAGAGAACATCAACTGGCCGCCTCCTACACGACCCCCAACCCGGGAATCTGGCCCACAGCCTGGGCATGTGCCCTGACTGGGGATAGAACCGGGACCTCTTGGTGCCTGGGTCGACGCTCAACCACTGAGCCACACCGGCCAGGCCAGCGGGGAGAATTATTTAAAGACAAACCAACAAACTCAAAGCTCATGCATGGCAAATAAACAATAAAGAGGGAAAGGAGACAGGCCAAACTGCCACCGTGGAGGACCCGCGTTGAGGTGGCTGAGCGTCACTGCACATGAGCTCCGCTGGTCCCCCGTGGTCTGCAATGCCCACCCCCTCCCGTATGCCTCGGCCTCATCCTCTGCCGGGATCCCCCGGGACTCGGACCACAGCCCCGCTCTCAGCCAAGGCCGATCCCTTCTCCCGCTCAGGAAATTCCGTCCACTCTCATCTCCTCTGGAGGCTGCCCACCCCCCCGGAACATTCCAGCTGCATGCAAACATGCCGTGATTCTCCCTGTCTTAAAGCCCCTCCCTGGCCCCCCTCCACCTCAGCTACCACAGATTCTCTCTTTCTCTTCCTAGAAAAACTCCTGTGACACAGTAGCTCGCAACTGTCTCTGACATCCCTCTTCCTTCTCGTTCTTGAACCTGCTTCCCAGGTCTTTACCCCATGACTTGACCAAAACGCTCACCGAGGTCACCTGACTTCCACGTTCCTAGAGCCAGTGCCCAATCCTCAGTCCTCTTCCAGTTTACAGCCTTTGACTGGCCAGACCTAGCTCTCCGTCGGGAACCTTCTCCCAGCCACCAGGACGTCACTCACTCTCTTTTGCGGGTTCGTCCTCATTTGCTAGATCTCCGCCTTTGGGCGTCCTCCAGGACTTTGTCCTTGGACGCCTCCCCTCTCTGCATGAGCATCCTGGGTGACCGACCTGGTCTCAGGACCTTCAGGACACAGCAAGAAGCCCCGCGCTCCCAGGATGCCAAGGCAGCAGGGCGCTCTACCCTGAAGTGCGGACCCAGTGCATTCTGCTCCTCCTCCGTATCCCCCCCGGTGGACAACTCAACTGATCGTGTCCCAAACCAAGCCCCTGCCTGCCAACCACCCACCTGCTCTGTCCACCTCTTCCCCATTTGAATGGATGGCATCACTCTCTGCCCAGAGCTTGTGCTGAAAGTGCTGAACTCCCGCCCTGGCCGGTTTGGCTCAGCGGTATGAGCGTCGGCCTGCGGTCCAGAGAGACCCGGGTTCGGTTCCCGCTAAGGGCACGGACCTCGGTTGCAGTTTGTCCCTGGCCCTGGTCGGTTGTGCAGGTGGCAGCCACTCGATGTGTCCCTTTCACGTCGATGTTTCTCTCTCTCTGTTCCTCTCTCTCCCTCCCACTCTACCTGAACAAAAAATGGAAAAAAAAAAAGTGCTGAACTCCCAACTTCTCCCTTTCTTCACCACAGAGCGCGTGCAGACATACCGTCGCCACCGCTTGCAAAACATATGCCGAGTCTGAGCACTTCTCACTACCCCCCAGCGGCCGCAGCCCCGCCGCCTGTCCCTGCACAAGACCAGCAGCTTCCTCTGCCCCCCGATCTAATTTCACGCAAAGGCTAATTTTCCTTGATAAAGAAGATGCTGACCAACGCTAGCTGTCCTCTTACAGTGTTGTCAGCACCCTAACAAACAGAGGCCTCCTGTTTTAGAAATAACCTAAAACGGAGTTAAGCAGCTCATGGGTTGAATGTACGTTAGATGGGACTGGAACAGGATATTTAATGAAACTTGGTACAGTGTCTGAACGACATTAGCTTATTTTTTCCTGTTATTTTTGCTCCCTTTTCCTAATCAAAGGCACGAGGTATTGATTATAATCTAGGTAGATATTAAAGAAAATGCTTAATTGCCCTGGCCAGTTTGGTTCAGCGGTTAGAGCATCGGCCCACAGACCTAAGGGTCATGGGTTTGATTCAAGTTAAGGGCATGTACCTCAGTTCAGGTTTGATCCCCGGTCCTGGTTGGGGTCGTGCAGGAAGCAAGCGATTGATGTGTCTGTCTCACATTGATGTTTCTCTCTCTCTTTCCCTCCCTCCCTTCCTTCTACTCTATCTAAAAAGTCAATGGAAAAATATCCTTGGGTGAGGATTCACAACAACAACAAAAAAGAAAAGAAAAAGCTCAATTATATAATTTGCTACACCCTGCTGTGTGGTCACCATCCCAGTAGCCTCTTACCTGTTCAAACCACTTTGCCTTTGGTCCCTATAGGAGCTATGGCCTCCCCTCCCTCCCCTCCCCTCCCCTCCCCTCCCCTCCCCTCCCCTCCCTCCCTCCTTCTTTCCTTTTCTATTTTTAAAGGGTTTGAAATGGAATATTTTATTAACATGTAGTTGTCTTTGTAACATGTGCACACACTCAGAATGATCTCTCTGGGGGGCAAAGACCGAGAATGCCTAAGGGGAAAACGAGAACTTAAAAAATTTCGGGAGGTTTTCAGTATTGCAGGCAATTATGTTCACACCACTTACAAAGCTACTGTGAAATGTGTCCAAGAGGCAGTCCGAGCGGGAAAGAGAACATTTCGGGGGCAGCTCCACGGTGATGGAGCAGAACCCTGGCAGGCTGCGGACGCCCGCCGTGGGCTTTGTCCTTGGGAAATGTGGGGGGAGCTTTGCCAACGGGCAGGAAACAAGGGAAGGGGCCGTGGCGTCTGCTTTATAGCAGTTTTGCTGTCTGGGGCAGGATCATCGAGAAAATGCTTCGCCTTCCTCTGGAACTAGTGTCGGGCCTTTCCCAATGCAACGGTCTCACCCTCGTTCCTGACGGCCCCTCGGCCCAGCTGAGGGGTGTCTCTCTAGGGCTCAAGGAAAGTGTCCTGCTCTCCTCACAGGAGCAATGCAGACGTGATCACGTTTCACAAAACAGGCCGAGTCTTCTCGTTCTCTCCTGATTTTTTGTCCGCAAATTAGGGCTGTGACTCCGACTTCCTCGTACAGGTACGACCAGGCAGCAGCTGTTGTCACCCGGGCAGGTGCCGGGTCTGTGCTCTGTCACCACTGTCTGGGCATCAGACGCGCCTCCGGAATGGCAAGGACGATCAGGACCACGCGTGTGGGTCCCGGAAGACTCTCCTCTTCTGCAAGTCCTTTCGGTCGGACCTGGAGGCTTGCACCCGGCTACAGAACCAGCTCCATCAGGAAGGACGCCAGGGACTCCCCCGTGCGTGCTTGGCACCCTCATTACAAACAGATCCCGAGTTTGGCTGCCCCGGGACCCCGGTGCCCACGTCTCTGTGTATCAGCCTGATGGTCCATCCTCCGGACGTGGAATAGGTGGAAATCCAACGTGCCGGGAGCAGAAACCCGACTACTCTCCGGCATCTGCTCCGCTCAGTCCCGAGCAGGGCGTCACGTGAATGTCCTCTTGGGGACGAGAGTCGGCTTTTCCCAACAATGGCACTAGTTCCTCTGTCAGCCCTCCTGCCTCCCGTCGCCCCCATTCTGTCAGCTGTCCCGGCTCATTCGCAAGCACAGTTAGGCTGTCTTTGCCAACACTGCCCATTCTCCTGCCTGCCCTCCTTTTCCAAATGCAGCTTCAAGCCCCTCTCTGGGCAGAGGCTGCCGGTCCAGCCAACACGGCCGAAAAGCACCACCAGGCACGTCTGGGACACAGCTGTTGTGGCCAGGGACATCGGGAGTGGCGAAATGCTTCTTTTCTGTCTCAGAATAGGCACGGCCCACGCACACTGTTCTCCCTGTCCGAGGCCCGAGACAAGCACTGAGGTTCTGGATTCTTCCTTCAGCTTCTCTTTCGTCTTTCTCAAGTGTCAACCTTTGCAGTCCGATGCACGGTGTCCTGCAGTGGCTGGGTGGCCAGCGCCTGCGTGGCCAGTGATACCACAGGGACGCCTCGAGTTTGGTTTGGGTGTTTCCTCTTCCCCCTCCACCACCCCGTGGTCTGTTGTTCACACGCCAGCCAGGATGCTCCCTCGCACCCCGAACACTCGGGCCCGCGAAGACCTGCCAGATCGGGGTGCTCTCTCCTGGACCTCACCTCCTTCTTCTCCCGTCTCAGTCACCCCGTTCCAGCTCCCTGCTGCTCCTCAAACCCACTGCGGCCACTCCAGCCTCAGGACCTCTAACTTCCCGTGGCCTCTCCCGGGCGCCCCGCCCGATGCCCGGCGGGCCGGCGTGACCTCCGAGGGCTCTGGTTACGCAAACCTAAGCTGTCTGGGCAAGGCCGCCCATCTTCCCTCATTCCAGCCTTCGTTTCTTACATCCTCACCCGAAGATATTTTTCCATTGATCTTCAGATAGAGTCGGAGGGGGAGAGGGAAAGAGAGAGAGAGAGAGAGGAGACACATCGACTGGTTGCCCCCGCACAACCCCGACCAGGGCCGGGGATGAACCGCAACCGAGGTACATGCCCTTGACCAGAATCAAACCCACGACTTGCTGGTCCGCGGGCCGATGCTCTACCGCTGAGCCACAGTGGCCAGGGCCCTTCCAGCATTCTTAGGGAACAAACTGAGAACAAGAACTGCAGACCCAGGTCCTTCTGATACCAGGATCACCCCAGGTTTACTGACAGTCAGTGAAGTCCTTCAGGGAAGTCAGGAGGCAACAGAATGGCCACGAGCAGCCCTTCCCCTCGCGGTGCTGAGGCGGCGTAGAGGCAGATGCCTCCTGTGTCCGCTCAGAGGCCTCCCCTGGATGCTGAGAATGGCCTGTCCTCCCAGCCACCCCACGCTCTCTCCTGAGGTCCTTGCATGTGGCTGAGTCTTTGAAAGCGGACAACTGAGTCCGCCTCTTTCCGGGATGAATGAACTCTGGAGACTTCTTCCCTGAGGTCAGGGCACACCGACCAGACCCTTTAGTCCCAACTGTTCGAATCATTACAAATATCTTCAACAACCAGGACAACACACAGAGTCATTGCCAACTCGGAGCTGTCGGATGACTCACCTGCTTCACAATCCCCCCGGAGACCTCTTCGATGACGAGCGACAAGTAACGCCACAGTCCTTCCTCATCCGGTACCTTGGGCAAGGTGGGTGGAAATTTCAGCATCACGTTAATGTGGTCCACAAAGCCAACAATCTGAAAGTCTGGGGGTTCCAGAGACACTGTATGGAAAGCAAAGTCGGGGACAAAGTCATCGCTCAGCAGTGATCGGCCGGCTGCCCCGACGCGGCCTAACCCCGCCACCTGCCTTCTTTTCAATCTGCCCGTGGGCCTCCTCGAGGGCTGGGTTTTACTTATTTATTTTTTTTTTTGAGCGGGGAGCATTATTCTATTTCTCTCTCTCTTTTTTCTAATTGATGAAAAACTGGGACCAAGAACAGTGATTTGCTTAATATGACCACAAGAAATACAGGGCAGATTTTGGGATGGAAGCTAGTCCTTTTCCAACTTTCAGGTTATATTCTAAATACAAAAGTAAAAGTGACTTCTTTCTACATTACAATAGTAATACACAATCACGGCAGAAATGTCAGAAACTATAGATAATTGTCCCTGAGTGTGGTCAGTATCTTCTGTCTCTTCTGTGAATGGTAAACATATATAGACAAATATAAACTGAACTAACGTGTGTACACCCCCTGCCCCACACACCCCTAAGCTAAAGTTAAACCATTCTTTACCCATACTGTTACACTGTATATATCGTCACTTATTTCAGAAATATATTAACACATATTTATCTACATCAAGGGCTCACACATTCTGGCCTGTGGGTTGAATTTCTGCACAGCCTGCAAGTTGAGAAGGGGTTTTGGTTTGTTTTTATGTTTTTTTTTCTTTTTAATTTCTTTTCCTTTATTGATATTAGAGAGAGGAAGGGAAAGGGAGAGAGAGATAGAAACATGGATGAGAGAGAACATTAACTGGCCGCCTCCTGCATGCCCCCCACTGGGGATCAGGCCCACAACCTGGGCATGTACCCTGACCGGGAATCGAACCAGCGACCTCTTGGTGCCTGGGTCGACGCTCACCCACTGAGCCATACCGGCCGGGCAGGTCTTGTTTTTGAAAGGGTTGTCAACAAATGGAGACTATGTCACAGAGACCACATGTGGCGCACAGAGTCTAACGGACTCCCTCCGGTCCTTTACCGGAGTCGGCTGAGCCTGCCCCCATCACGATTTTCACCGCGAGCCCCATCCCGCTGAGCATCTGCGCCGCGGCTGAGCGGGCTCTTTGATCACAGGCTGACCCCGGTCTTTCTGAACGCAATCTGGGTATCACTGAGTGTTCCTGGAGCTAAACCCTTGCTTTTGCCCACAGTCTCCCTAGGACACATGGCTGAAGAGGAGCTGTGGGCGAGGCGGGTGCCCGCCGAGGCTCTGATGCTCGCTGCAAACACCGTCGGAGGGGCTGTGCGGCCGGCGCACACCCCCTCTCTCAGCTGGGCACTTACACATTTTCAACAGCTGCTGTTTTGAGTCTTGAAAAACGATGTCTCGTTATTACCTTAAAACGCTTTCTTCAGTGATCTGAATACCACGAGCTACAAGCTGTGCCTTCCTCTCCCCTGCGTGGGGACACACCAACCTGTCTGTACACACAGAAACAGGGCCCCGCGCCCAGGACTCGCCCGGGGCCTCCGCTCCCCAGGGGGCGCAGCTGCCCTGCCACTTTGCTAGGCGCCGGCGCGGCTCAGGTCAATGACAAAGCAGTCCGACCCCTGCGGGGAGCTGCCGGGTCCCTGGGAAGGAAGGGCAGACCCACCGGGCTGCAGTCCTGGTCCCCGCGCCCAGTACCAGGCCGTGTCACCCCACTCTCCACTTCCGTTGGGTGGGACAACCACCCAACGAGGGGCAGTGGCCCTGCCGAATGTCTGTCTTCCACAGGCCCCGAGCGACCCGCCCAGCGCGGACGCCGTCCCACTCTCTGGACAGGACACGGGGCTCGGAGGGGTCACAGAGCCAGGCGGCCGGAGCCGCCGGTGAACCTGCCCGGCTGAAAGCACCTGTGCAGACCTGCCCACTTCCGGCAGGAAAGGTCACGATGGATGACCTTGATGACACGGTGAAGACCACACAGAGAGATCAACTTACTGTCCGTGTCTGGGAAGATAGTGCCGGAACAGCTGACCAGCTCTGTGTCCCCTCGGAGTCCCACGACCCTGGTGACATACATCTCGGCCGTGCTTCCCCACTCGTGCGTGAGGTCACAGGATGGCCTCGTGATGTTCGTGCAGCTGGGGACAGTCTTCATATCTTCTCCTTTACTTTGGTGGGAACAGAAACCGTAAAAGGCTGTTAGGTGGGGAGAACCCACGGAGCACATGGCCCACTTCCTCCGGTCTTTGGGGCCCTGGCCAAGCGTTGCCACCTCCCGTCACGTTGTGGGGCCCAAACCCCTCACTTAAAAGGGAACCCTCACCCTGCCCCGCCCACCCTCTGTCCCAGCCCCTTCCGTGTGTGTGTGTGTGTGTGTGTGTGTGTATTTTTTAATCCTCACCTGAGGATATTTTTTAATTTATCTTCAGATAGAGTCGGAGGGAAGGAGGGAGAGAAAGGGAGAGAGAGAAACATTGACGTGAGAGAGACATATCGACTGGCTGCCTTCTGCATGACCCTGACCAGGGCCAGGGACGAACTGCAACCGAGGTACGTGCCCTTGGCCAGAACTGAACCCGCGGCTCATTGGTCCGCGGGCCGATGCTCTAACTGCTGAGCCCAGCTGGCCGGGGCCCCTGCATGTTTCCATTCGTACCATTTTATCTGTTTGCTGACACCTGCCCCCACTGCAGAAGGCCTGCCAGCACGGCTGGCCTCGGTCCTGCTTGTCCGCTGCACGCAGCAGGCGCTCAGTAAGCATTGGCTGGATGAGTGAGCGAGCAAACCCTGGGCGCTCATGGTGGGGGCCTGGGTCTCCCTGGACCCGCTGGACAATCACGAGTGCCCGAGACGCTGCCTCTCTCCGGCTGAGGACCCACGGCCCAGTCCTGTCAGCCTGTGCGCCACCGGACAACACAGACGGCCAATCCCTCCAGCTCGGGAGGGCAGGTGGGCAGGGAAGGACCGAAGACGTTCGCGGGCACCAAGAGAAACTCAGAGGGCCTCTGGGTCTGTCGGCAGTAACAGCTCGAGGGCGACAAACGCAGGGCCACTCTGAGGAGCTCCTGGGGCCAACTATGGCTGAGGAGGGTGACCGTCCCACATGGGAAGGCGAGAGCCAAAGGGGGCGTTGTGTATCGTGTCACTGAACCTTGCGTCATCAACCCAAGAGGAAGGGTTAGCTCAGAGAAACAGAGCTCTGTGCCCGCGGCCACACCAGGGTCGCAGCCGTGACCCAGCCAGACTTTGCCCCTGGGCCTCTCCTACTCTGGCCAGGAAACTGTTCCAGGTGCCACTTGTCTGCCTGAGCAAACAAAAGTGGGGGCAGACTGCAGTCTGCCCACCAGACCTTCATACTCCTGTCCTCAGAAAAGAGGTCACTTTCAAACGCTCACACTCGCTAAGTCAGAGAAGTAACTGTGAAGACCATACACAGTCGTTGCTTTGCTTCTGAGGCTTCGAGCTGCAGAAATGGCCTTTGGTTGCCAACATGAGCTTTGTCAAAAAAAGGCTCGAAGCCCTGGCTGGTGTCGGTCAGCGGTTAGAGCATCAACCTGTGGACCAAAGGGTCTTGGGTTCGATCCCCAGCCCTGGACGGGTTCATGTGGGAGGGAATGGATGTGTCTCTCTCACATCTATGTCTCTCTCTCTCTCCTCCTTCCCTCTCTCCTTCCCCTCCACTCTTTCTAAAAATCGATGGAAAAAAATATCCTCGGGTGAGGATTAAAAAAAGAACAAGCCTTTGAATTGTTAAAGTATTCAATTTAATTAGAAAAAGATTTGTGTTTTGTCTTTTAAAGCTCTGAATAAAACACAAACACACAGAAAGGGCTGGGGCGGGGGGGAGTTCTGTCACAAGTAAGATCCCAGCCTCGTCCTCCCACAGGGCAGAAAGGTACCATATTTAGCAAGAGAAGAACGAAACGCCAAGCTAACCTCATGTACGTGTAGGACAACGTATAGTGAGTTGGTACAATGGAACGGTTTTTCACTTCCCATGATAAAATTGGCTGGAAATTTCTTAAGGTCAGGTTGAAGCTGCAAGCGTCATCTGGAAATATGAAAGGAAACAGGGGATAAAAATCCAGAAACACTGAAATCTGGAACCCAGGGTTGGATCTCGGCCACTGTGCGGACTACCCTTGGGGACCTGGAGCCCACACCCCCAGCGGGGAAGCCCTCCCGGAGCCCAGGTTTCCTGAACACAGAGGAAGGTGATGGTTCTACTGGACAAGAAAAAGGAACTGATGGAACTAATCAATGAGCACTCCTTAGAAAGCAGGAAGTCAACAACGTGTACACAGAATTGGGGCTCACCCAGTTATCACGGAGGCTCACCCTGTTATCATGGCCTCTCAGTGGCTCATTGGGTGACAAGACCCACATCACCCTGGGCCACCCCATTCTGCCCACTCGCCTCCTAAGCCCTGGTGGCCGTCCCCGAGCAGCTCAGCCCCCCGCTGGCCTCACCCCTTCTGAAGTCCCTGCTGGATGGTTCCCCGTTCCAGAGGGGAGGGGCAGAATCATGTGTACCCAGACTGGCCCTGTTCAGACGGTCTGTTCCCACCACAATGTTCCAGCAGGTGCCACAGACCCAGTCTCTGCAGACTGGGGCGCAGAAGCCGAGTCAGCCAACACCGCGGGGGAGCTGCGCCCGCAGACCCCTCCTCTGCCGGCGCTGTCAGCCCATCCTGCCTCCTGCGCTAGGACCCCGGCCTGTGCCCACAGTGGCCACCTCTTCCTTCCCCAGCGCTCAGCACAGGACTGGACACACAGAGTGAAGTTTCGTGGACAGATGTGCACATGGACGCAAGAAGTTTAGTTTTCAAAAGTTATTTTTGACTTGGGTGGTGAACACACAATACAATATACAGATGATGTATGTGCCCTGAAGCCCGTATGCTTTTATGAATCAATGTCACCCCAATGCATGCGATTAAAAAGTTTTTTTCCTTTATCTGGTAGCAGGTATTGAATAACGGGGAAGAATGGAAATTAGAGGAAAGTTATTTCTGGATCTTTCCCTGGCAGAATCTGAGCTTTCTTCTATCGAGGGGTTTTAAAACAATCTCTGGTGTTAATTTCCTATCATTGTTTTGTGAGACAAAGTGACAACCAGAGTGACTCATTTTGGCTCCTCTTACAAAGTGCTTGAGAAAAGAGATTCAAACAAAACGGAAGACAGATCTGGGACCAGAAATCAAATGTCCCACATTTTAGACTCCTGAATGATCCCCCCAACACTCTGACCCTTACACAGAATTCACTCAAGCCACGAAAAATTCTTACCAGGCAACGCGTGTAAAACACCAGACATGGGACCCATGTTCCCTAGAAAGAAGAACAACAGGTTACACAAACAACAGTGTTTCTCTGGGCTCTATTTATGTAAAAAATTTTGTTTTTACTGATTTTTCAGAGAGAGAGAGAAACATCCATGTGAGAGAGAAACACTGATGGGCTGCCTCCTGCACGCCTCCTCCTGGGCATCGAGCTCACGACCTGGCGATGCGCCCTGACCAGGAATCGAACCAGGACTTCTCAGTCCATGGACGACGCTCAGTCTGCTGAGCCACACCAGCTGGACACTGGGCTCAAGCTGTCATCGCTGCCCTGAGTCTGGCTTTCTTTTACACACCTGTGTTCATACTGAATTAAGACTTTCTTATACTAAAACAAAACACAAAACTCTGAAGTCAACGGTTCTTGGAGAGCTGACACTGGCACCGACAGCACCTGGTCCAAGGATGTCATCCTGAGTGAACCCCGGTTGAGATCTGCTTGGGGGCTGACGTTAGTAGCAGGGACTGGCTGGTGGCGGGGTGTCCTGAGAAGCAGCTGTCCGGAAGAATCCGACTATGAATGAGCACGTCGCTGGTTAACAGCCTTGCAAGGTGACGCTGCTCACCCAGGGCTGCGGCGGCAGAGAGCTGTGATGGGAGCTTCTGGTGTGCTCTCTGGGTATCGCGTGAGCTGGGTGAGGGTCCCAGGCCTTTCCTTAGGGGGAGGCCATGGGTATTATTTCCACTGCAGTGCAAGGCTGCCCTGCCCAGGAGATGCCCCACTCATAACTACCGAACAGGTCACAGTCATACTGAAACAGGACCAGCACAAAGGGCGCACATACGACCACAGGAAAAAAAATCAGTAATAAACGAAGCTTCCACCAAAGCTGATGGACAATTTTCCAGTCAGGTGACGTTGGCAGGAGGTAAGGGTCGGGCCTCTTTCCAAATATGAGTAATAAACTCCATCCTCGATTAGAGTGACGGTATTGAGAGAAAGTACTCTTCAAATCACATAGAAGGAGATCCCCCAACTTTATCCAACCCGAAGCCATTCTTGGTCGTTTGTTTTCCTAAAATGAACAGGAGGGCAGAAGCCGACCTGCTGCCCCCAGAAGGGCTCTTGGTCCCGCCCACTTCACAGGCTTCTCCGGGCTGATAAAAAGTAACACTTACCCATGAGATACAAAGTAAGTAGTGGAATCACACAGGCGCAGCTCCAAAGCATCTTTGTTATTTCCTAAGTCCTTCTTTGCATTCACATCTGAAAGGAAATCAACGGTGGGTGATCAAAACTCGAAAATGTCTAATGAACAGGAAAGACGAGCGGGAGGTTCCGGGTCCCAGGCTCCCTGACCCCTCCGGGGAGCTGGGCCATTTACCCTCCGTGTACACGAGCGACCTGAGCTCAGCTTCTGGGACCAGTTCCCCTCTTAGTCAGGAAGAAATTTCCAATTTCACTCTCCAACTGGTAACAGTTACCTGGTCCTAAAGCTGTAAACATACACAGAGTAGACAACGAGGAGATTCGCTTCCTTTTCAAAGCTGTTACCAGCGAGACGGCGTCGGCGGTTCCTGTTTCCCCGGAGGGAAGAGTCCAGTCCAGAGCCCCAGCGCGGCGGAGCCACGGGAATGTGCCCGCGGCGAAGGCACACGCAGGACCGCGACAGAAGGGAGGGCGAGGAAGCAGCGACCGGAGGCCTGGGCTGCGCTGCTCCGGCTCACGGGGATTCAGAGAAAAGGGCTTTGGGGACAAGTTCAGGGCTGAGCCCAGGACGAGCTGCCGCTGCCCGCCGCTGCCCGCCGCCCCCCTGGTTGCAATCTCCTAGGCTCGCTTAGAGGGAAAGAAAGGGGGGGATAGTGTGGGGCGTGCTCCCCTGGAGGAGAACAGGCACTGGTCCTTTGTGTTGAGGGCATTGCTCTCTCTTGCAGGCAGAAATCTCAGGGGAGGGTCCCAGTAGAACATTCATCAGCTTTCCAGGGGTGCTCTTTTGGGCTGTGGGCTCCACTGATTGGTCGGAGCCAGGGCAGGGTCATTAGTCAAGGCAGCTGGTCCTTAGGCAGCCACAGCATCACTGGTCTGGTTTTGCTGCTTTTCTGGGCCTGGAGCTGAAATGTAACTGAGGCCTCGATGTGATCTTCAGGGAGGAAAAGGTCAGGGGGTCTAAACTGCATGACTAGCGATATGAAAAGTTAGGGGCTCCAAACTGCATGACTGGGGAGCAAAGGTTCCCCTAGGGACGTTGTTTTCCTGGTTCTGCCCCGTACTGGGCATCTGGGGCTGTCTGCCCTGGTGGGTTTCTGTACCTGGCCCATCGTCCTTGCTCTGCTCACATCTGTCTAATTGCCTAGAACAAAACCACTTTCATTATTTTTGTGTGTGAGTCCTTCAGAATATCGTCATGCCTGAAAACAAGCCTGTCGTTCAGCCCATGTTTTTATACAAGACAGCCTATGCATGCCCTGCCCACCCCGGCGCTTCCCACTTGAAAACACACGGGGAGAGCTTTCTACATCAGCACCAAAGAGAATTTCCTGGGCGGTGCTTGAAAGTCGCTGCACTTGCCTGGCCGGTGTGGCTCAGGGGTTGAGCATCGACCCTGCACCAAGAGGTCGCCGGTTCAATTCCCGGTCAGGGCTCATGCCCAGGTTGTGGGCCAAATCCCCAGTGGGGGGCCTGCAGGAGGCGGCCCATCGATGTTCTCTCTCATCGATGTTTCTATCTCCCTCTCCCTTCCTCTCTCTCTCTCAAATCAATAAAGAAAACAATAAATAAAGTAGTTGCACTCTCTCTTCTATAGACAAGCATCACTGACATCCTCAGTCTCTAAGTGAAGGAAACATGTCCAGAAGGTGGACTGCTTGGCAAAGGGGCCTGTTGTCAGAGTCCCAGCAGCAATGAGCACCTTTAATTTAGGAAATTTTGAGACAGTCTTTAATCACATGTGTGAACAGGATGTAGACAAACCATAAGAAGCTACCAACAGCAGGGGCTGTTACCACACTGGGCTCGAGGGGCAAAGGGAAGGTGCCAACACTGGACTCTGGGAGCCACGAATCCTACGTGAGGATCTGTGACCACAGCCAGACCGGCCAGCCAAGGCGAGGCGGGAAGGGGCTGAGGGATACACACATGACCGTCACTGTCTCCCTCCCTTGCCTTGGGGCTCCATGTTGGTGGAGCCCAACCAGAAGTCGGAGAACAAGGATGCTAATGGCTGGACCCAAGGAAGACAGGGTTCCAGGGCGAAGTAAAGGGCGGGAGGGTGGAGGCTGATCTGGGAGGGCAGACAGAAAGCCCAGGCACAGAGGGGCTATGCATCTGTGATTCTGACGGAAAAGGCCACATGCCCCGCTTGGTGGCTGTCGCAATTCACACAAAGGCCTACAATGTGTGGGAGCTTTGTGCTCCCATCCCCCAGCCCCTTCACAGAGGCTATGGTCAAGCTCTGGGGTTGCTGAACCAGATTCATGAGAGAAAATACTGTTCTCTTTCTCTCATGGGACCAAGTATGTCTCTGTTTTGTTTTGGTACGTGCCCCTAGCGGGAACCGAACCCGGGACTCTGGTCCGCGGGCCGACGCTCCAACCGCTGAGCCAAACCAGCCAGGGCTGTTTTTGTTTGTTCTTGTTAAATCTATGAGCTGTTTGTACTTCCTTTCTCGTGAATCGTCTGTGTATATCCCCGGCCGTTTTTCTAAGGAGCTGCAGCTTTTACTCTTACTGGTTTGCAGCAGTTCTCGGTGTACTGACTGGTATGTGGGCGGGAACCCCACCTCCGTGATGAGTCCCCCCTTTTCCTTGTCACCTGCCCTTGATTTGCTTCTGCAGTATTTTGTTTGTTTTTTAAACTATGCAGAAGTTTCTCAGTTTTTTTTTTTTTTTTAAATCCTCATCCGAGGACATTTTTCCATTTTTTGTACAGACAGAGTGGGAGGGAGAGAGAGGAAGAGAGAGAGAGGGAAACATCGATGTGAAAGGGACACATCGAGTGGCTGCCACCCGCACGACCAACCAGGCCCGGGGATAAACTGCAACCAAGGTACATGCCCTTAGTGGGAACCGAACCCGGGCCTCTCCGGACCGCAGGCGGACGCTCTAACCGCTGAGCCAAACCGGCCAGGGCAGAAGTTTCTCAGTTTTATGTTTTCATATTTAAAGGAACTTTCTTTATTTTTGTTTGTTTGTTAATCTCACCCGAGGATGTTTTTCCATTTATTTATTTATTTCTTAAAGAGAGAGTAGAAAGGAGGGAAGGGGATGGAGAGAGAGAGAGAGAGAGAGAGAGAGATTGGTTGTCGTCTCCCACATGCACCCTGTGGGGATGGAAACTGCCACATTGAGGGTGACTTCCTTCTATCTGAACATCTGCCCTGTGCCCTCTGGTCCCTCTGTTCTTTTTAACAATGTACAATCTTTATTAGGCCCCGTGCTAAGAGCTTTGCAAGCATTTCCTTTTTTTTTTTTTTTTGCTTTAATCCAGGCCCCCTCCTGCCTTCCCCACACTGTTGTCTGTGTCCACTGGCTGTGCACATATTCATAGAAGTTCTTTGGTTTATCTCTTCCCACCCCCCCCTTCCCTTTGAGGTTTGTCAGTCTAACAACCAATTTGTACTTCTTAATCCCTCCACCACCCAACTCCCTTCCCATCTGGCAAGCAACAAAAAGCTCTCTGTATCTATGAGTCTGTTTCTGTTCTGCTTGTTCGTTTTGTTTGTTGATTCAATTGTTGATAGATATGTATTTATTGCCATTTTATTGTTCATATTTTTGATCTTATTCTTCATGTAGCTCCTTCAACATTTCATATAATATTGGTTTGGTGGTGATGAACTCCTTTTGCTTTTTCTTGTCTGGGAAACTCTTGATATGTCCATCAATTCTAAATGATAGCTTTGCTGGGTAAGTAGTCTTGGTTGTAGGTTGCTGCTTTTCATCACCTTGAATATCTCTTGTCACTCCTTTCTGGCCTGCAGTTTCTTTTGAGAAATCAGGTGACAGTCTTATGGGAGCTCCCGTGCAGGTAACTAACTGCTTTTCATTTGCTGCTTTTAAGGTTTTCTCTTTGTCTTTAACCTTTTGCATTTTGATGATGATGTGTCTTGGTGTGGGCCTGTTTGGGTTCATCTAGTTTGGGACTCTCTGTGCTTCCTGGACTTGTATGTCTGTTTCCTTTAGCAAGTTAGGGAAGTTTTCTGTCATTATTTTTTTCAAATAGGCTTTCAATTTCTTTTTCTAGCACCTCTGTAATGTGAATGTTGGTATGCTTGAAGTTGTCCCAGAGGCTCCTTATACTATCTTCATTTTTTTGGATATTTTCTTTTTGCTGTTCTGATTGGGTGTTCTTTGCTTCCTTATATTCCAAATTGATGGTTTGCTTCTTGGCTTCACCTACTCTACTATTGATTCCCAGTAAATTATTCTTTATTACAATTGGTGCATCCTTCATTTCTGACTGGTCTTTTTTTATGTTGCAGACGTTCTAAGTTCCTTGAGCATCCTTATAACCATTGTTTCGAACTCTGCATCTGACTGACTTTTTACCTCTGTTTCGTTTAGTTCTTTTCCTGGAGTTTTGTTCTGTTCTTTCATTTGGGACACACTTCTTTGTCTCCTTATTTTGACTGCCTCCCTGTGTGTGTTTCTATGTATTAGGTAGAGTCGCTATGTCTCCTAGGCTTCCTAGGGTGGCCTATTGTAGTAGGTGTCCTGTAGGGTCCAGTGGCACAGCCTTTCTGGTCACCAGCTGGGCCCTTGAGGTGCACCACAGGTGTGGACTGTACACTCTCTGTTGTAATTGAGTGTTGATTGCTGTTGGCACATCAATGGGAGGGATTTACTCAGGCTGATCAGCTGCAAGGACTGGATGCGCCCACTGACCTCTGACCTCTGACTCCCTTGGAGGATCAGCTGTGCAGAGCCCACCACACAGAGCAAGACTTACTTCAGCAGGGCTCTGGTACCCACTGAGTCCACTCATTGAGTGTGTCATTTGTGGAGGTGGTTGGGTGGTGGTGCTTCGATGTGGTCTGAAGCTGTCCACTGGGTGTGCTGGCTCTGGGGCAAGGTCAGCCTCTGCCTGTGTTCTACCCAGGGCCACCTGGCATAAGCTACAAAGTGATCTGCCGATGGCTGCTTCTTATGCTGGGCTTGGAGGTGCCCAGGCAAAGCCAAGCTGTGAACCAAGGCTGGCTGCTTCTAGTGCCAGGCCTGGGGCCAGTTAGATAGAGGTATGGGGTTCACTGAGGCCAGATGCTGCTTGTTTGAGAGAATTTAAGAACATTTGAAGCAGGATCCAAGACAGGTCAATCCTGTGGTGAAGTCACTGGAAACAGCTTGGGTGGGCCCGAAAATTGGGTGGGGTGGAGCAAACAGTGTGAGTCAGGTTGCTGGAGTCCCAGATATGGCAGCCATCTGCCTGCCTCGTGGGGGAGGGGCTCACCAAAGGAACAACAGCCTCCACAAGCCTGTCTGTCTGGGAGAAAGCTGCCTCTGCAGCCCTTACCCAGAGGCCAAACAACTCGGTTCTTCCCGTAGTCCTCCGATGCCTTTCAGGCGGCCTCTCCCCCAGGCTGGAGCTCAGAGGGAGCAAGTCCGATAAGTCCGTGCGCGGGTCCTTTAAGAGGAGCTGCCTGGGGCTCCAGCGCCTCAGCCTCCCTCAGCCTCAGTTCCCGCTGGTTTTGCAGCCAGAAGTGAAGGGGATTCTCTTCCTGGCCCTGGGACCCTGAGCGGGGCACGTGGTGTGGGACGGGGACCCCTCAGTCCTCAGGAAGGACCTTTCCAGCCGAGGTGTCCTCCTGATTTTGATTCTCCATGGGTGGGTGTGGGACCAGCCTGACCCGCCTCTGCCCCTCCTACCAGTCTCCATGTGGCTTCTTTAATTCCGTAGTTGTAGGACTTCCATTCAGCTCGATGTCAGGCGGTTCTGAATGATGGTTGTTCTGAGTTTAGTTGTCATTTTGATGTGGTTGTGGGAGGAGGTGATACCGCGTTACTTACGCTGCCACCTTGACTGGGAGTCCCTCTGTTCTTGTCTGATGGTCTTCATTTCGCACGTGCAGGACTTGGTGCCTTCGCAGCCAACAGGCACAAGTCCGCTCTCCGGCTCTGGGCCAGGGGACCAGGGGATGCTCCTTCCCCTCTTTGCTCCTGGAGACTCATACCCCACTTTCAATCAGATGTCTGGTAACTAGGTTCCTGCTTGCTTGGAAAATCTAATTTCTCGCCTTGACATCCTGCCTGAAATGGTTAATGAAGCTCCTTAAGACTTTCCCTGACTACAAACAGACCAGCCTTCCTGAAGCCTAGCTCCGGTTAATGTCACTGCGGCGGCAGGGCCACCCTCAGTCCCCAGGGCCCTGCACGCAGAGGGTCCCACACTTGGTTCACGGCTCTCCGGTGGCCGACGTGAAATTCTGAACAGTTTATTTTTGAACTGGTCTTTTGTTAGTTAAGTCTGAGGGGACAGTGGGACACCAAGGCCTAGGCTTGGAGCCGCAGCTCACCTGGTCTGGTTCCCCGGTCCCTCGCAGGGTGGGTGAGGGGCCCACCCATGATCACGTTGTTGGAGAGAGCACACTGTTGCCCTCCTGGTGGGGGTGCAGGGAGGGTGGAAGCTGCTCCTTCCCTAAGCAGGCAGTGTCTTGCTTCCCCCGGCGGGTGACTAGTCTGGTGGGGTGAGCACTTAGGTCAGCCTTGATCCCAGCATGTCCAGGAGCAGAGGGTTAAAGACCCTTGGACATTGTCAGTATGCTGTGGCCTGGGATAGCAGGTCCTCGAGGAGGGGAGACTTGACCTCCCTGGAGTCCACCCCAGGCTGGGGTGTGGGCATTTTACAGGAGGGGGATCTGGCACCCTCCAGGCCCAAGTGCATGGGTGCTCAGAGTCGCCAGTGCAAGGGCCCCGGGTACCCGAGGGAGCTGCACTGGGCCTGGGTGTCCCTGTGCATGAGCCGGTGCTCCGTGGGGTGGCGGTGTGCGGGTGGACCCTCTCTTCCTGAGTCTGGCTTTGGTTAGCTTCGTCTGGCTAGCTGCGCTCTAGGTGTGTGTAGAGTTCGGCGAGTCCCCGTGAGAACCAAATGCTCTTGTATTGCAGTTAGATGTGGCTTTGCACAATATAAAGTAGATGGACAGAGTCACGCTAATAATTTACAATTTTATTTCTGAATTTGGAATGACACTGAATAGCAACTTTAGACATGACAAGCTGAGACACAGACACTGTGGAAGAAAGGAAAAGGTTTATATTTGAGTACCTTTCGTGGTACTTTTTCTTGGGACATTTTCTTCTGGCCCACAGACCATTCTTGTTTCATCTCAATAAAATTTCTCTTATCCTAGTTTTACTGGCATTTCTACTTGTCGGTCTCTCTACATCGAGGTCCCCACGGTCCTCACATCGCATTCTTCCTGGTGACCAAATCTTTGTCCTTTTCCATCTGCTCTCATCGGGCTGAACTCCAGCCTTCCCTCTATCCAGACTTCCTTCCCGCAGTATCTAGTCTGCTTCTCCCTCCAATTGGCTCTGTTATTACGTTTCCATGGTCTTCAATTTATTCCCTTGAGTCTGTAATCTCCCTCTTCATCTCAGTTTTCAAATTTTCTCATCTTCGAGCTCATTGCATCAAATTCTTATTTTTATCAAGTTGGTGTAGGCTCTAAGGCTGTTGTAAGGGACTTCCTGTTCGAGAGTAACATTTCCTTCTTTGTAGGGCTCCTTGAGAGCCATCCTCCTTTCATGTCCTTTCTCCCCACACCACTTCTGTTCACCTTGCTCTACCTGGTGACTGTCACCTGCTCCTGTGACGCAGTGGAGTGAAATCTTGACCTCTTCTTACAACTGTGCCTGATTCCGGTTTGTTTTGCAAAGACCTGAGCTCTAAGGATAGGCGCTGGGGTGGGGGAATCAAGGGAATGTATCCGCCAGGACACCTGCCCCCCTCACCCCCCAAGGTTCTGTCCTGCAGGCAGGTTCCCGGCTGTGGGGGAAGGAGGAAGAGTCCACTTCTGGTCTGGGGGGGTGTCCCCCCGATTCTGCAGTGGGCTGTTCCTGCTCGGGCAGCCCAGCTGAGCCCCATCTCCCCGGTCTCAGCCAGCATAAGCCAAAGGTGCGAAGACTCATTTTCTCTCCTACTTGGGAGCATTTTCAAGATTTGTGTTGACTCACCAGTATAGTTTCTGGTGGTTGGGCACTCTCAAATTTTAAATATTTGTTTAAAACCTCAGAATTAAAACAATAGCAACAATGCTTAAGAATTCCTTTCCCACGAGCACTTTGCAAAACCCTGGCTTGTGGGGAAACTAGGAGGACACGTTTCCCTTTTGGCTCCGAAGCACATTCTCAGTGGCTCTCAAGGACTCCGCAGCCTGCCCCCAACGTGTCTCTGTCTCTGTCTGTCGGTCTTTCTGTCTGTCTGTCTGTCTCTCTCTGTCTCTTCCTCTCCCTTCCCCCTGTTAGCACCCCGACTTCAGCCAACCTGCCCTTCCACCCGACCACTGTGTATGCTTTGTTCTTTCCGAATCGCATCTGACCATTGTCAGTCTCTGAAGCAACGGGAAGGCCTCAGGAAAAAGCCCAGTGATGCTCTGCTCTGGCTCAGACGATACTTCCCAGTGTTGAGGGCCCACTTCTGATATTTGGACTCCTCTGAAATCAGAGCGCCTCCTCGGGGGGCACCGGATGACAGTGTTTTTACTGTTTACTCGGTTACATGAAATAAAAGTCCACCTTCCGCTCAACAGCATTTTAGATTTGGTAAATATATTGACCAAGAGTCAAGAGTTACCTGTGCCATCGACTCTTCCACGGTCCTGGGAGTTTATACACCAAGGAAAACGAGCCCGCGTAGGTCGCGGGCGTACAGGTGGGCGGCATGGGGGAGATCGTTTAATAAAAGTTTCACTTCTAAGGCAGTATCTCTGGGACTGCGGTTCTTCTAATTTTCTTTTTTAACGACAAATGACCATTTTTCAAATCTCAGGAAGCTAATTTCGGGCAGCTTCTCTTTCACTTTCAGATAAATACCCGAGAAACGACAGAGGAAATTACATGTACGAATAGAAGAAGCCTGCGTTTTTGATGATCTAAAATTGAAACACAACTTGCAAACTACAGAGCCTACAAGTTCGAGTCGTTTCCTGGGACAAGGGGGTCACGGCCCCCCAGGCTTCCCCACATGCTCTCGCAAGGCCTCGCTCCTGCCTCCTTCCTCCCTGAACCTCCGAAGCTGCCGGCAGGCGCGTGGAGAGGTACCTAGGCACCCGGCCAGGGAGGGGGGCAGCTGGGGCCTGGGTAGCATGACGCGGAGGGGGGCCAGGACCCCGGGGCTCCCGACACTGCTCTGCCCCTCCACCGCCCCGCTCATGGGATCCTCCGGCATCTATTACTTTCTAGGGCCTCTTTCAAAAGGTAAGGAAATCAAAGGCATTCGGAGGCGGGGTGGCCGGCACTTCCAGTGAAGCCATCGCTGGGGCCGGAGCTAGGAGACGACAGGACTCGGACCCAGTCTCACTGGGCTGAGCGCAGGTGTCGGTCCGCACAAAGTTCCTCCCCCTCCCCACCCGAGGGGGTCCCCTCCTCTGTCCCGCCCCCCCAGCTCCCCGCAGCGGGTCTGGCGGGACGTGGGCTCTCGGCGCAGCGCCCTGCCCGGGGTCTCGGGCGTCCGGCCGGGGAGGGAGGGGCGCAGTCCCAGAGGGGCGCGAAGGGGACAGGCGCCCTGGGGCGACGAAGGGCGGCGGGGCCGCGGGAGGGGCGGGGGTTCCCGGAAGCGGCTGCGGCGTCGCGCGCTGGTCGGGCGGTCCCGGCGCTGGCCGTCCCTCTCCCCTCTCCCGTCGCCGTCGCCCCGCGGTCCCCGTTACCTCGGCAGTTCGCCGCCGCTCCTGTCGGGGACGCTGTTGGCTTCTCGGCGCGCCCGGCGGCAGTGCCTGCGCGACACCCCGCGGGCAGCGGGCAGCGGGCAGCGGGCAGCGGGCAGCGGGCAGCGGGCAGCGGGCAGCGGGCAGCGGGCAGCGGGCAGCGGGCAGCGGGCAGCGGGCAGCGGGCAGGGGCCGCGGTGGCCTGGACGCTCCGCTCGCGTCGGCGCCCCAGCTGGGCCCTCGAGAGGCCGGGAAAGTCCCCGGCGCGGGTGCGCGCGCCGAGCACCGCCTCCTCCGGGGTCCGGGCGGGGCCGCCGGGGCGGGGACACCGGTCACGCAATTCACTGAGCGTCCCCCGCCCCCTCCACTCAGCCCACGTCATCATGGGGAAGGCATCCGGGGGTCTGGGCTCTCGTTTTCTGCGGTGTCCCCAGAAGCCGGGACAGTGCCCAGCACTCAGAACGCTGCCCGGTACATTTTATTCATTCAGTAAAAACGTGTTCAAGGCCCTGGCGCCTGTGGCTCCCTGCTCGGGCATCGTCCCAAACAGCAAAGGTGGAGGTTTGGTTCCAGGTCAGGGCACATGCCTGGGTTTGGGTCTGGATCCCCAGCAGGGGGCAGGCAGGAGGCAGTGATCCATGTTCCTCGCATGGATGTTTCCCCCTCTCCCTCCCTCTGTCTCTAAAATCCATAAGAACATATTTTTAAAAATGTGTTCAATGAATGGATAAGAAGAATCAACATCATTGAAATGTCCATTCTGTTCAAAGCCATCTAGGGATTCGATGCAGTTCTTATCAAAATACCAGTACATTTTCCACAGAACTGCGACAAATAATCCTGAAGTTTATATGGAACTAAAAAAGACCCCAAATAGCTACAGCAATCCTGAGAAAAAAGAACAAACTTGGAAGCATCATGCTACCTGATACCAAATTGTTACCTTGAAGACAATGACCAGAACCCCCAAGGAGAGTGCGCTGGGCCCTTTGTGTTGGGGGTATTTCTCTTAGGGGAGGTCTCAGGGGAGGGTCCCAGTAGAACATTCATCAGCTTTCCAGAGGTGCTCTTTTGGGCTGTGGGCTCCACTGATTGGTCGGAGCCAGGGCAGGGTCATTAGTCAAGGCAGCTGGTCCTCAGGCAGCCACAGCATCACTGGTCTGGTTTTGCTGCTTTTCTGGGCCTGGAGCTGAAATACAACTGAGGCCTTGATGTTATTTTTAGGGAGGAGTAAGTCAGGGGGTCTAAACTGTGACTAGCAATATGCTAGGGGAGGAAACGTTACTCTGGGGGTGAGGTTCTTGTTTTTCCAGTTTTTCCCCTTGCTAGGCATCTGGGGCTGTCTGCCCTGGTGAGTTTCTTCTGCACCTGGCCCATTGTCCTTGCTCTGCTCATGTCTGTCTGTAACAAAACTATACTACAAGGGTATTGTAATCAGAACAGTATGGTACTGGCATAAAACAGACATATAGATCAATGGAACAGAACGGAGAGCCCAGAAATAAATGCACTCCTTTATGGTCAATTAATCTACGACAAAAGAGGCAAGAACATACAATGGGGTAAAGACAGTCTCTTCAATAAATGGTGCTGGGAAAACTGAACAGTTACACACAAAAAGAATGAAACTAGACCACTTTATTTATTTATTTTTTTTATTTATTTTTTTATTGATTAATTTTTGTTACAAATGATTCTCCTTTTTCCCCCCACTGATTCCCCCCTCCCCCTTCCCTCCCTGCCCCTTCCCCAGATTGTTGTCCATGTCCACTGTTCATGCATACATGCATATAAGTTCTGTGGTTCATCCCTCTCTCACCTCCCCACTCCTTAGGGGATTGTCCTCAAACTGTTATGTTCATTATATCCCACAAATCAGTGAGATCATATGAAATTTGTCTTTCTCTGTTTGGCTTGTTTCACTTAGGATGATACTTTCCAGGTCCCTCCATGTAGTCTCAAAGGATAAGAGATCTTTCTTTCTTACCGCTGCATAGTACTCCATTGTGTATATGTACCACAGCTTTTTAATCCATTCGTCTATTGATGGGCACTTGGGCTGTTTCCAGATCTTAGCGATTGTAAATAGTGCTGCTACAAAGATGGGGGTACATATATTCTTTCTGATTGGTGTTTTATGCTTCGTAGGGTATATTCCTAGAAGTGGGATCACTGGGTCAAATGGGAGATCAATTTTTAATTTTTTGAGGTGACACCATATTGTTTTCCATAGTGGCTGCACCAGTCTGCATTCCCACCAACAGTGTACTAGAGTCCTCTTTTCTCCACACCCTCGCCAACACTTGTTGTTTGATGATTTGTTGATGGCGGCCATTCTGACAGGTGTGAGGTGATACCTCATTGTTGTTTTGATTTGCATCTCTCTGATGATTAGTGATGATGAACATTTCTTCATATGTCTCTTAGCTATTTGTATGTCCTGTTTGGAGAGGTGTCTATTTAGTTCCTCTGCCCATTTTTTAATTGGATTCTTTGTCTTCCTTTTGTGGAGTTGTATGAGCACTCTATATGTATTGGAAATTAACCCCTTATCTGATATATCATTGGCAATTATGCTCTCCCATACAGTGGGTAGCCTTTCCGTTTTGATGATTGTATCTTTCGCTGTGCAGAAGCTTTTTAGGTTGATGTAGTCCCATGTGTTCATTTTCTCCTTTGTTTTTATTGCCTTAGGTGATATGTCAGTAAAAATTTTGCTGCGTATGATGTCTGAGATTTTGTTGCCCACGGTCTCCTCTAGGATTTTTATGGATTCATGAGTTACATTTAAGTCTTTTATCCATTTTGAGTTTATTCTTGTGTAGGGTGTAAGTTGATGGTCTAGTTTCATTTTTCTGCAAGTAGCTGTCCAATTTTCCCAGCACCATTTATTAAAGAGGCTGTCCTTACTCCACTGTATGCTCTTGCCACCTTTGTCAAATATTAATTGAGCATATTGCCTAGGGTCCATTTCTGGGTTCTCTATTCTGTTCCACTGGTCTATATACCTGTTCTTGTGCCAGTACCAGGCTGTTTTGATTACAGTGGCTTTGTAGTATAACCTGAAATCTGGTATTGTGATCCCTCCAACTTTGTTCTTCCTTTTCAAGATTGCTGTGGCTATTCGAGGCCTTTTTGGTTCCATATGAACTTTTGAAGTAATTGTTCTAATTCTTTGAAGTATGCCGTTGGTATTTTGATGGGGATTGCGTTGAATCTATAGATTGCTTTGGGTAATATGGACATTTTAATGATGTTAATTCTCCCAATCCATGAACAGGGTATGTTCTTCCACTTTTTTACATCTTGCTCTATTTCTTTTTTCAAAGACCTGTAGTTTTCTGCGAATAGGTCCTTTATCTCTTTGGTTAAGTTTATTCCTAGGTATCTTAATTTTTTTGCAGCAATGGTAAATGGGATTGTTTGCTTAGTTTCTCTTTCTGTGAGTTCATCATTGGTGTATAAGAATGCCATCGATTTCTTGACGTTAATTTTGTATCCTGCTACTTTGCCAAATTCATTTATTAAGTCTAGTAAGCTTTTGGTGGAGTCTTTGGGGTTTTCTATGTACAGTATCATGTCATCTGCAAATAATGACAATTTCACTTCCTCCTTTCCAATTTGGATCCCTTTTATTTTTTCTTCCTGTCTGATTGCTGTGGCTAAGACTTCCAGTACTATGTTAAATAGGAGTGGCGAAAGTGGGCATCCTTGCCTCGTTCCTGTTCTTAAGGGAAATGCTTTTAGTTTTTGCCCATTGAGTATGATGTTGGCTGTAGGTCTTTCATATATGGCCTTTATTATTAGACCACTTTTTTACACTGTATACAAGAATAAGCTCAAAATGGATTAAAGACTTAAATTTAAGGTCTGAAACCATAAAACCGGAAGAAAACATAGGCAGTAATCTCTTTGACATAGCTCTTAGTAATATGTATATTTTTGTTAATACTCACCTGAGGATAATTTTTTCTATTGATTTTTTAGAGAGAGTGGAATGGAGGGAGGAGTGGGAGAGAGAGAGAGATAAAGAGAGAGAGAGAGAGAGAAAAGAGAGAGAAAAACATCAATGTGAGAGAGACACATTGACTAGTTGCTTCCTGAACATGCCTGACCGGGCCCAGGAATTGAACCTGAAACCCAAGTATGTGCCCTTGACCAGAAATCAAACCTAAAATCCTTTAGTGCATGGGCTGACGCTCTAACCACTGAGTTACACCGGCCAGGGCAATAATGTTTTTTGGGGATGTGTCTTCTTGGGCAAGGGAAATAAAAGAAAAAAAATAAACAAATGGGAGCCAGGGGGTGCCATGCGAGACAAGAGTGGATATTTTTATTTTTAAAAATTAATAGTTTTTCCGGGCCAGTTTGCTCAGTGGTTAGAGCGTCAGCCTGTGGAACAAAGAGTCTTGGGTTCGATTCCAGTCAAGGGCATGTACCTCGGTTATGGTTTGGTCCCCGGCCCTGGCCGGGGGTCATGCAGGAGGCAACCAGTCGATGAGTCTCTCTCACATTGATGCTTCTCTATCTCTCCCTTTCTCTCCCTCCCACTCTATCTGAAGATAAATAGAAAAATATCCTCAGGTGAGGATTAAAAAAAAAAAAAAATGGGCAAAGGACCTGAATAATCACATCTCTAAAGGGGACATACAGATGGATAATAGACATGTGAAAGATGCTCAATGTCAGTAATCATCAGAGAAATGCAATTAAGAACCACAATGAGATATTATCTCACACCTGTTGGAATGGCTATCATTAACGAATCAACAAACAACAAGTGCTGGAGAGGATGTGGAGAAAAGGGAGCCCTCATGCACTGCTGGTGGGAATGCAGATTGGTGCAGCCACTGCGGAAAACAGTATGGAGTTTCCTCAAAAAGTTAACAATGGAACTGCCTTATGACCCAGCAATTCCACTTCTGGGAATATATCTGAAGAAATATGAAACACTAGCCCTGGCCGGTTTGGCTCAGTGGTTAGAGCGTTGGCCTGCGGTCCAGAGAGACCGGGGTTCGGTTCCCGATAAGGGCACGTACCTCGGTTGCAGTTTGTCCCCGGCCCTGGTCGGTCGTGTGGGTGGC